TATGAGCTGACTTGACATCAAAGCAACATTTGCAGATGGATACCCTTCCCCTACCCGTGGTGTTGGAAGAGGCTGTATAGGGAAGAGGATGCATCAACACCCTGGAAAGATATTTGTGGTGCACTCACTCATAACACTTTTTTTGAGTGATAAATAGGTTTATCGTCATCAATCAAATTGTATTTATAAACCCTTTTTACATCAGCAGATATCACAAAGTACAATACAGAAACCCAGCCTAAAACCCCAAACAGCAAGCAGCACGGTAGAAGCACGGTGGCTAGGAAAAACTCCTTAGAAAGGCAGAAACCTAGAGAGGAACCAGGCTCTGAGGGGTGGCCAGTCCCCTTCTGGCTGTGCCGGGTGGAGATTATAACAGTACATGGCCATTAAGGCCAGATTTTTCTCCAAGATGTTCAAACGTTCATAGATGACCAGCAGGGTCAAATAATAATCACAGTGGTTGTAGAGGTTGCAACAGGTCAGTACATCAGGAGTAAATGTCACTTGGCTTTTCATAGCCTGGCATTTAGAGGTTGAAATAGCAGGTGCGGTAGAGAGAGAGAATTAGAGGGAGCATACTTAAATTCACACAGGACACCGGATAAGACAGGAGAATAACACCAGATATAACAGACTGACCCTACCCCCCCAGCACAAAGACTATTGCAGCTAGATAAGGTAAGCAAATGTAGCCCATACGTTCATTCTTCATATCAATTAGATATTTCATTTCTTTAAACTAGTAGCTAGCTCATCTTGATCATGTGTTGTTCCTTCTCTCTTTCTATAAGCACTGATTGAGGAAAGAAGGAAAGAAATCCCACAAAGAAGGCACACCTGTTAATTGAAATTCCAGGTGACTACCTCATGCAGCTGGTTGAGAGAATGCCAAGAGTGTGCAAAGCTGTCATCAAGACAAAGGGTGACTATTTGAAGAATCTCAAATATAAAATATATTTTCAAATTTGATTTGAAATCATTGCTAGACAGATTCCATATGTGTTATTTCATAGGTTTGATGTCTTCACTATTATTCTACAATGTAGAAAATAGTAAAAATAAAGACAAACTTTAATGAGTACAGTGAGGGAAAAAGGTATTTGATCCCCTGCTGATTTTGTACGTTTGCCCACTGACAAAGAAATGATCAGTCTATAATTTTAATGGTAGGTTTATTTGAACAGTGAGAGACAGAATAACAACAACAAAAATCCAGAAAAACGCATGTCAAAAATGTTATAAATTGATTTGCATTTTAATTAAGGAAATAAATATTTGACCCCCTCTCAATCAGAAAGATTTCTGGCTCCCAGGTGTCTTTTATACAGGTAACGAGCTGAGATTAGGAGCACACTCTTAAAGGGAGTGCTCCTAATCTCAGTTTGTTACCTGTATAAAAGACACCTGTCCACAGAAGCAATCAATCAATCGGATTCCAAACTCTCCCCATGGCCAAGACCAAAGAGCTCTCCAAGGATGTCAGGGTAAGATTGTAGACCTACACCTGTAAGTTTTCAGACCGCTTGACTTTTTCCACATTTTGTTACGTTACAGCCTTATTCTGAAATTGATTAAATTGTTAGTTTTTTCATCAATCTACACACAATACCCCATAATGACAAACACATGTTTTTAGAAATGTTTGCAAATGCAGTGTTTGGTTTTCGCCAGGCATAATGGGACCCATCTCGTCCAAAAAGTTGACTGAAGTTTGCCAAAAAGCACCTGGATGATCATCAAGACTCTTGGAAGAACATTCTATGGACAGATGATTCAAAAGTATAACTTTCTGGACGACATGGTTCCAGTAATGCCTGGCGAAAACCATTCAGTATCACAAATATGCAAAAGTATAGAAAATTAGAAAGGGGGCAAATACTTTTTCATAGCACTGTATCTCCCTGGCATATTACATCATTTATGCAGCAGCATACAATACATTTTTGTGCTCACCTTGTTGTGCTGTGCTCACTTGAACAGGAAGTTGGCACGCCGGTCCTTCTTGGGCAAATTCTGTTATCACACTTTGTCATCAAAGTCTGCCATTCTCTGTATTTATGGTGCTTTCAAGACAGCTGGGAACTCTGAAAATGTCACTAAACCGATGTGGATGTGGTGGAGGAGTCAAGCGCAGGAAACAGAGGTTAGTCCAACAAGACTTTAATAGTCTAAATAACACGAGTGGAAAACCCCGACCTCGAAAACACACGAAGTGGCGAGGGAAAATTACGCACACGCGTAAAACACTAAACATGAAACAAAACGGAATACAAGCACGTAGCATCGACAAAGTGGCAACAAAATAACAACACACAATTACCCTAGAGCAAAACAAGGAACTTATAAGACACGTAATCAACACCCAAACAGACACAGGTGTGACAGACAGGCAAAAGCAATCAAATACAGAAACATAGAGCGGTGGCAGCTAGTACTCCGGGGACGGCGAACGCCGAAGCCTGCCCGAACCAGGAGGAGGAGCAGCCTCGGCCGAAACCGTGACAGAAAAAAACAAGGTTGAATCATGATGACGTCAGTGATCTTCAGGTCGTAGCTCTAGAAAGAGGCCCGAGTTCCGGATTTACAATTCCGAGTTGGATGACCGTTCAAAACGTACTTTCCCAGTCGGAGATCGTTTTTCCCGAGGTCCCAGTTGTCTTGAACTCACTGAAGTCAGATTTCCCAGTTCCGAGTTAACAGTTGTTTTGAGCACGGCGACAAATCATGCTTCATTGACAGCATGGCCAATGTTGAATGTTTATAATTTTAAGCTTGAAAAGAGACCCTTGATCCCAGACTTGGGACCACACAGCCACTCCACTGAATAGCAGGCTAGTGATTGCTTTGCAATGCTTGCAGTTAGCCACTGATTCCTTCCAAACCACTCGTTGTTGAATTTGCGATTTCCATCTTGTTGTGTAATGCTTATGTCCAATGGCCGATGAGCACCGATACGTTTTATTTATAATTTATCTTCATAATTTATCTTCATATGACAAGGATTAAAAAGGATTTGCCAGTAGATTGTAGACTTGATTCATGATGATGACTGCAGCTAAGATTTTGAAAGTATGATGTTGACCTGATCAGTCCAATCAAAGCTACTGTAGATATAACGTGATTTGACATCATTTTATCTGTGGCCAATGACCTTGAGCCTTCTTGGATGGGCACTTCTAATGTAACTCTATGGCAGCGCCCAAGGGGCTTGAATTTTCAAGCTCTTCCCTTAGACTTGGCGGTGACATAGTGTCCCCATGAGTGATAGAACACTCACGGCGCATGTGACACGTATTAATGCCAAAATAACATGCAAAACAGGCTAGCCCCCCCCAAAACTAATTTTTTCCCATTTTTATTATATTTAATCTTTTAGCTCAAAATTGGGGCTCAAAACAGGTTTGGCTCTGTCCCACATGCCCTGAATGATGGGTTTCCACTGATGCTTTTACTATAAAAGAGATGTTTCCACCACTACTCTTGTCCACGCTAGTCTGCGAACCCACAACCTTCTGTCCCGCAGCCCTAATTAAAATTCCTGCGTTGCCATGTAATGCTAACAGGATGAAGAACAGTTTGTAAAACTGCACAGCTAAGGCTCATGTCTGTCCAAGAAGTGAGGGTAAATGGTAGACATGTTCTCTGCCATCCACTTTATGTTTTAGATATTATTTTGGTTATAGGGGAGGGTCACTTGTTTTGTTTTTTCAAGCCTACAGATGGTAAAACATATTTTTCTCAATGGAGGGCCATCCATTTTCATTTCAGAGAACCATGTAACCCATATTATAAATAATGTTCACTTCCTTAGCATGCTGATGATTTCAAGTTGATTTGGATTTTTTTTTTTATCTGTTGACATTCAATACATGTTGTTTAGTATATTTAGAACATTTAGTATGTTTAGTTTTCTCTGTGAGAAGCAAGTTCATTAAAGTTTTAAGGTTTATGTATATACAATGTTGTTAACACACAGTAACCAAAAACCTGATCTAATTTGCATATTCATACTGAGTTTGCAGCAAACAGTGGAATGTTCTCCACAAGTTTCCCAGAATTGTTTGCCAGAAGTTCACAAGTCGTTGCAAATTTGCCCCAACAGTTTGCCACAAAACTAATTTGCATGTGAAAATATGAGCTCTCAGCAAATTGGCCAACGTTTTGCCACAACTGTTTGCCAGAAGCCTATTTTTTCTACTCTAGGCCTACTTTAGCTCAAGAAGAGCGTGCCAGCCTGGTGATTCAGATACACTCACTCTGGAGGACTGGCTCATTCTAGTTCTGTGCTTGTATCACAGTATTGCACACGCACACACACACACACACACACACACACACAATAACAACTACGACACTCGTGAATTATTAACATGCTTATTTATTCACTCTTCACTTCCCTGACATGAGCTGCAGGTATTACAGGGTTATAATAAGATGCGTGCCTGTTGCAATTAAATAATTCCTATTGACCAAAAGTGCCCCAACCGCTGACCGCATCTGTACTGGTTGAACATATTACTACAGTTTAGCTCGTTGAGGATTTACATTTACAAAGCCTTGTCGTTACCATGGGGCTCAGCATCACTTTCACTAAAGGGCCTCAGAGCTGATGCTGAGCACGGGCGATACGGTCACAGCTTTTACGTATTGACGGTAGCTCCACCCAATCAGACTTCCTTGTATCGTATTTTCGACCAATACATTCAGTTGATATTGTGTAGGGGGCGGTTGTTATACATTCCCGGTTATTGAACCGCTACATTCAACAGTGGCGGCGGCTTCCAAACTGTCAGGTATTGAAGAGGTGTAACGTTACTCTTTCATTTCAAAGACACGATTTGACTTCATTGGATATTATTTTTATTTTAAGAAATATAATGCTCTCCAAGGTGTAGGAATTTGGATCCGTTTTCGAGGACATCACCACAGGTATGTCTCTAACCAGCAGAGTAAGCTAACGTTAGCTAGCTAGCTAGCAAGTATTTACCAACACAGAAAATACAACGTGCCAGCTAGTTCAGTAGCTTGCTAGCTAGCAGTGGAAATAAGCTATCATACGGTATGATAGTTAGCACTGCAGAAAACATCCGTTTATTTGCTAGCCATATCGCTAGCTAGTGTGTAGGTAACCAGATGTTGTTGGCTAGCTAAGGTCTCGCCGGCTAAACTAGCTAACGTTAATGCAAAGAGACACTTCTCTTCATCTGTGGTTTCAGTGCCTGAAGCAGCTGAAGCGCACTGATTATAGTTCAAGTTAGTTACTCAATACTTACTAGGGCTACGTTTAGTTTGTCGACATTGATGGCTGTAGTGGGCATGTGTGAGATGTTGTGATTGATGGTCTGTCTCTGCCTTGTAACTTAGGTCTGTGGACATTGCGACCAAAGCAGAGAGATGGAGGCGGGCTCAGTGGTGCAGGAGGACATTACTTTCCGAGGAGTGGAGTTTGCTGTGAAAATAGAACTAGAAGAAGGATTGCTAATAGTCGAGATCTCTGATGCAATGACAGCTGATCAGTGGAGGGGAGGGTTTGACCCAGCCTGTAAGTGAAGCGTTGTGAAATGACATACTTCATTTACGTGGATATTATAGACATTACTATTTATTATTATAATGTTTTCATTGTGTCCCAGACATTGAAGACCTAACTCGCAAAACGGGCAACTTCAAGCAGTTTCCCATCTTCTGCAGCATGTTGGAATCTGCTGTTAGTAAGGTGAGTCTGCGAGGCAGTAAAGGAAGCTAAAACATGTTTATAAGTGTTCTGATTATGATTCATTCTTTTTCTGCAGACTAGTGAGTCTGTTACCCTTGACCTCTTGACCTATGCTGACCTGGAGCTCTTGAGGAACCGGAAGGCTGGAGTTGTTGGTCGTCCCCGAGCCCAACAGCAATCTCCTAACCTCAGTGCCAAAAGATACCTCATCCTTATCTACACCGTAGAATTTGACAGGTTTGTCTCTCTTTTAGCGATATCACTACCATAAGCTTGACTCAAACTCTGCTTGACATATACAACTGCGAAATTGCCATGTTAACCTTTCCCTATAGGATCCACTACCCCCTGCCCCTACCCTACCATGGCAAGCCTGACCCTGCCACCCTGCAGAAGGAGATCAGAGCCCTGAAGACTGAGCTAAACGCCCTGGCCAACCATGCAGGTCCCAAACCAGCAGAGCCAGAGATACGCCGGCTACGGGCAGAGTAAGTTATGATCTATTACACTGTATTAATCAGGACAGTCTGTATTGTTCTCTTCAGGTCAGAGGTTAAGGGCCCTGACTGTTCTGTCTGTTGTTAGACTCACCTTGGTGAGAGAGGAGAAGGAGGCCCTGGCCAAGGCTCTGGAGCGTCTGCAGATAGTGGGGGCTGGTTCCACCCCAGGAGGAGGGGCTCGGGGGCTGAGAGAGGTGGTCAGGAGTTTAGAGGACCAGCTCCTCAGAGAGAGGGCCAAAAGTCAGCGCTCAGCCAGCAAGAGGGGCCAGGAGCAGCGCCTCCTACTGGAGCAGGTTGGTCCTTGTTTGCATCATATTTCAAATAAGCATGTACTCTGGAACTTTTATAACTTTGAATAATTTAGAATGCCTGGCCTTCAGTTGATGCAAATAATGTAATAACATAGATTCCTGCATACCATAAAAAGGTATTGTGTGCATGTCAACACTTGGAAGTAGTCATTTTTGTGCCATTATAAGTAGGATTGCTTGGTGCTGATTCCATTGTTCAGCTGGTAGGCTAATTCAGACGTTTCCTGTCTCTCCAAGTTGGAGGAGCTAAGGGCATCGGAGCGAGCTCTACGGATTCGCGTTAAGAGTTTGACCAATGAACTGGCGTTGCTAAGACGAGGGTTAGTCAATCTAAGCATGTATGTCTTTCCTTTTTCTTTGTCTCTCTTTAACTTTCACTCACTCCCACTTACTTACTCACGCCTTATGATACTCTCCCTGTGGCTAATGTTGTATACTATGTGTGTCTGTTTTTAGTAGGGTGACCAGTAGGGTGACCCCTGCCCTCTCTGGGCGCAGTGCCTTGCGGGGTGATGGGGAGATCAGGCGTTCACTGTCCCGGGAACGTAGTTTAGGACGTGTTGTGGTTAGGGCTCGCTCAGGGTCCAGGGAGAGGACAGAAGAGAGGGGTCGAAGGTCAGAAGGCCAGAGGGCAGACTCCTCAGGGCCCCGCTCACATGTCTCCAGACCCTCACCTTCTCCCACAGGTATTATTTTTTTCTGTCTCTATAGAAGTTTAGAGTTGACTGGTAATTCAGCTTCATTGCATTGCTTTGATTGTTTTACTTGGTGTACATTTGGTAATGAAATGGATACAATCAAGTTGACACCACCAAGTCTGAGTAAAGCTATCAGGGCTTGATTATCTGCTTGATCTTCAAGGAAAAATACACTCAAACTTTGTGGATTTTCCCTTGAAGTATGAGCTCCCAGTCAATCCTGTCATTCCTGTTTTCAGGTTCGCGGACGCCACGCTTTGACCCCACTGCATATATCCAGGACAGACAGCGCCGACTGAGAGAGGCGGAGCTCAAAAAGTCAGTCTCATCTCCCTCTATCCATTTAACTGTCATAACTTTATCTGCAGTGCAAGCTTCTGCCAATTTTACCAGTGTCTCTTGCATGTGAGACACTGGTATAGTGATTTTCATGTGTTGAAATACTCAAGGATTTCAAATGGCAACCCATTTTATCTTATGCTAATAGGAGGACCAATACTGAGTGAAACGTTTGCTGTAATCATGACTTAACTTGGCCTCCTGTGTTCTCTCTCTCCGTCAGCCAGAGGATGGTCCGAAGGGAAATGTTAGCGTCGCCTGTTCTGGAGAGGGGGCGGTCTCGGTCCAGGGAGGCTTATTCCCAGATGACCAGGGCAGGCAGTGGGAGCAGAGGGAGGAGCTTATCAATAGAGAGTAGGAGGAGCAGACAGTCCTCTGAGAATTCATTGGTGGCGTTGGATGAGTTGAAAATCAGGTAATTTATGCTTTACCTTCCATCTATATCACATGGTATTACAGTCCAAACTGGGTTTGTTTAAGTAAGTGAGAGATGTTCTGTTGCTTTACTGCGTGTCTCAGACAGTTCCTCATTTTGTTCTGTGTTTCAGAGGAAGGAAGCAGACCTACAATGGTCCAACCATGGTGAGTGCAGTGTGTTATTTTTACAGCTTGTGATAGACCTTGACATCTTAGTGTTGAGTGGCAAGTGACAGATATTTCTTTTTGTAGCCCAGAGGAAGACATTTGACCAGGAAGACCCATTGTAGCACTCCCACACACAGGATACGATCAGACAAAGGTAACCAATCAATGCCTACTCTTCAATCTAAAGTTTAATCAGTCAGTTAGCTAAAGAAATGAATGTACTTTTAATATGAGCCCTGGTGACACATTCTGCATGAGAACCTTGCTGAAACCAATGATTTATCATTGTCTGTGCCATGCTTGTTCTTTACCCAGAAGGCTCCATAGATGGGGCTGACTTGTCAGAGATCGATGCCCGGCTGCAGGCCCTACAGGACTACATGAGGGACCTGGATACGGGACACTAAAACCATTAATTCTGCACACTCAAAACTCTAGGCAGGAGAAATTAGTTCAAAGATTGTCCTGTGCTGCAAACTTAGACCAAGGACTACTACTATTGGAGTCGACACTGTGACTAAACAAGACCACTGCACTACACTGTGATATTTTTGCACACATTATCAGCCGATAGGCTTATGCAAGTGCAAACAGAGATGGATGCACACACTGCTTATTTTGTCGCCCTCTGGGAGACAGTGCCTGATCTGTGGATAAAGATACCACTGTGAAGGCTGTTAAGCCACTGTTAGTGTATTGAACTAGAACTGAGGAGTGACTGATTTTATACTACGGTTTTATAACTTATGCATTGTGTCTGTTGACCGTAATACCCCATTTCCCCTTCTTTCTTTTTTACGAGTGATTGATGAATGCAAAGATTGTTGTGATTTGAGATGTTTTAGTCTGTAAATATAACTTTCTTTTAAACATTTTAGGGGTGTTGCTTTTGGTGAGAAGTATAATTAAAAAAAAATATATATATATAGAAATGAAATGTTGTTTCTCATTTCATGTCTTCAACATATTTTATTGAACAAATGCCCACTCATGTTCTATTATCATTACTTCCTGTCTAGCCATGTGTTATGACTTGATGATGGGGGTAATGCCATGTCTGTTCAAGTGTTTTGGCCCATTGGATCAGAGTTAGATTTTCACCAAGTGCTGTATAATGATTTATTGCTTTGTTTTTGTGCCATTAGTTTTCTAATATGTGTTTAGCCTAAGACATATCTTCTCTAGTAATCATCACTGCAGCAGCTTTGTCTCTCAGTAATGTGGTGTGAGTGAGTGCACCAAGTGCACTGTGTCCTCCCCCTCTGCAGTACAGTTAGTGTTGGTTGGGTGGGCTGAAAGTTCCTCCCTAGGGCTTTACTCAAAGGGCAGCTGCCACTACAGCTGGCTGAGTCTCATTAATTAATAGCTAACCTTCCCGGCCTGGACCCTTCCTCTCCTGGGTGAGCAACTGGGCTGCAGGAACAGCTGCTTCCATCAGCACTACTGTAGGAGGATGAGAATAGTGGAGGGAGCTGACAGGCTTTTTGTGCTGGAGGGGAGTTTTGGTTTTTAGATTTTACCTCCGCTGCTAATAAAATGTAAGATGCTTTCCACTTAACTAAAACACCATCTATCAGAATTAAGGCCAAGCACCACAGGCTTTTTTGCATCTACAGTACCTATACATTTTTTGATTTGTTGGTATTTTGTTACATTAATATTAGTATTTTCAAAATGTAAACATCAAAGCCCATTTCATAGAGAATGTTACAAACTGGACTACATTTAGTAACTTACTTTGAAGAAATGGTGATTGGGTCTAAATAGGCTTTTGGTAGTCATAATTCAGTGTACTTGTCTTTAACTGCCATTTCCCGAAAGTCAGACTCTTCCCACATGCCAACACATTTTTCTCAGCTTCAGAAGCATCTGCATTCACCAAATGTATATGGGGAAAAAAAGTTTTTATCCACAATCTGCTCTGGACAAATCCTGTCCTGGAGTGTCGAAACAAAAATAGTTAGGCTGACTTCATCCAGTGTACAGAAAAATACATTTGTGTTGTGTGCAAATATGCGCATATTTAATGAGAGCGCCATATTTGAATATTTTAATAAAACATTTCAGAAATATTATTATAGAAAAAAGTTGTATTTGTGTCTACATTCAACTGGGAAAAGTTTATTGTGATATGATTGAGAGAGAAAAAAATCCCTATTAGGGTTTCGTGCCTGGCCTTAAAAGGATCAATCACAACTTTACACATTCAAACATCACATGCCATCTCTTTCAATGGGTCATAGTTATGAAGGCAAAATGTTGTGGTTGTGTAGCACTTGCTAAATACTTTATATTATAACCGAAGATATACTAACCCAAGATAGTTTATCTGTGTCGTTTGCAATGGGAGAAAATGAAGCATAGTGGGCAGAACAAGCGCGAGATCCTATTTGCGCGTTGTAGCATTATTAGCATATTTCCGTTTTGGCAAAGCGTCAAGTCTATAAAACTTAGCTGTGTTGGTAACAGATTTTAGTATTGGGAACAGAAAAATGTATTGAGATCCGATGTTTTATCGATGAGAAAATTAGCAGAATGTCTTCACAGTTTCATCCTCTCCCACTACCCCGCGACTGGACTTCCTCTCACTACCATATTTGGTGGTAAGAAAACGTTCTAAACGGATGCTTCAGTTTATAGCGCCTGTGACTTGTCTCTGGGTTACCCTTTATGTCTGTGCTAAAACTGCTTCTCCAATAGAAATCCCCGATCACACTTGTAGGCGTAGTCATGGCAAGGTTGGCTAGTTTAGCTCATGCGTAGAACACGTCTTGAGGTCTAACGGTCATCTCGCGCCGAACTGCGCATGTGCAAGCCGTCAAATCAAAGGCACTCCTTCGATATATATAGTTGCTGGTTTACGAAAATGAAAACGCGAAACTTCCGGGAACGCTTGCCAAACAGACAGAAGTGAAACATTCTTCCATAGTTGTTAATCTTCTCGAAATCTTAAGGCACAACCTAGATTCGAGCAAATGTCTTAAGTAGTTGAACATGTTCTTACTCCAACCTCGTGAAAGTGACAAATTGACACGTTCATTTTCGTCAAAAACAACTATGTCGAAAGAGTTCCTTTGATTTGACAACGTGCACATCCGCGCAGTTCGGCGCAAGACGACCGTTAGACCCGATAACGTTTTCTGCGCTTCAGCTTAGCTAGCCAACGTTGCCATGGCGTGATCGGGGATTTCTATTGCAGAAGCAGTTTCTGCCTATCTTCATACTGTACTGTCTTTGCCACAGCGACTCCTCGATGATTGACATATACATATTGATTAACGGACAAATCAGTGTCGTTTATGGGCGGGGTTAACAGTAACTAATGCAATTCTAGCACCCCTATGTGGTGACGAAGGATTATTGTCAGCACATGGTTGAAAATATTTGGTCGTGGTTTAGTGAATGGCGTTGGAAATTAAAACTTATCCGAGACTTTGGCATATCGGCATTATCGCACGTGCAAAAGGTAATGTAACTAGGTATTGGCCTGCGTTGGTTAAACTGGTTTGAATGGTTAATATGGTTCAAAGGTGCAACAAGTTGCGGAGATCAACCAGGGTATTGTCCCTTCAAATATTGCTTCAATCGGAGATGAAACGTACCGTGGGCGTGGCTCCCTCTTTTATTTTGGACTAGCTAAATAACCTTGGCCGCAGCTAAATCAGGTGAGGCTGCACTCATTCACCACGAAAATTCTGATGAGGATGACTAAAACGCCAGTGATCACAGCTCCAGCCCAAGGAGTAAGGGGGATATGAACCACAGTTGCTCAAACGCGTCGGATCCAGTGTGGTCGGCAAACGGGAAGACGGACTCTACAAAACATGCTGCTGATTTCCCCTCACTTTGCGAAAACGTACACGAAAATGTTACACAACTGGTGGTCACATGTGATGCGAGCCCATGCCGAATTGAATTGGAGGCCATGAGGGTTAGCGGGCTCTCCGTTGGATCTCATCCCGACGAGGAGTCGATTTGCTCGGACAGTGGGTTCGGAGGCTCCCCCGCGTCTCTTCTACTCAGAAAGCTGTCAAACGCCTCATCGTCTGGGTTGTCACCAGCCTCGTCTTTTGAAGAAAATGAGAACGACCGCGGCTGTCCTGATGAAGTCCCCCGGGTGAGTGTGCGTGGGATAGGTGGTCATGATAATGATATCATGCTTTATCAGCTGCCATATGATTGGACCAATCAACATGAGTCTATGTAACATTCTGCTCAGGAAGATGCATGTCATTAGATTATATCATACTAAACCATCTTTGATTGTATGATTAGAACTGGCTTTGGTTCAACAGTTCTGCTTAGTTTAGTCTGAACTGCTGGAAATGAGGGCAATGTGTGGGACTTCTGCAGTCCCAGTAAATCTCAATCTGTCATGTTGCCTGTAAATCTTATGTATTTTTACTGCTGTGGAAGCACTAGTGCTGTGTGGATCTGTAAACACTGACACAGAAACCACACTAAGTCCACACTGTAAACACTCACACAGAAACTCTAAACACTTGTATCCTAGGTGCCCACTCTCCCTACCCCCTCTCCTCATCCCTCTGTACACAGACAGAGGCTCAAAGCCTGACACTGTATAGGCTGAGCTGGGGATAGGATAGTTTTATCACAGATAGAACAATGAGCCACAGGCCTCCCGAGTGGCACAGTGGTTTAAGGCAGTGCTAGAGGCGTCACTACAGACCCAGGTTTGATCCCAGACCGGGAGACCCATGAGGCAGCGCCCAATTGGCCCAGCGTCGTCCGAGTTAGGTGATGGTTAGGCCGGCCGGGATGACGTTGGCCCATCGCTCTCTAGTGACTCCTTGTGGCGGGCCGGGCATGCACGCTGACTTCGGTCGCCAGTTGTACTGTGTTTCCTCCTACACATTGGTGTGGCTGGCTTCCGGGTTAAGCGAGCAGTGTGTCAAGAAGCAGTGCGGCTTGGCAGGGTCATATTTCGGAGGACGCATGGCTCTCGATCTTCGCCTCTCCCGAGTCCGTACGGTAGTTGCAGCAATGGGACAAGACTGTAACCACCAATTGGATATCACAAAAAAGGGGTAAAAAGTACCCAAAAAATTAAAATAATGATAGAACAATGAGCCAGATATTTCACCGGATGTATTAGCTCATTTTCTCATCGGTGAAACATTTGATCTCAATACAGTTTTCTGTTCCCAAAACTAGAATCTGTTACGAACAGAGTAAGTTTGTAGATTTTATCCGTTGCAAAGTTTTTAAAAATTGCAATGTTTAGAAGAAGTGCAAGGGAGAATTGAGTTATTGCACTCGCGCACTTCACAGAGAAGGCGCCAATAGGATCTTGCTAGCTCGTGCTTGGCTCTGCCCCCCTACTTGCTTGTTCTGCCCACTGACTCATTTGTTCCTATTGAAAATGACAGGCTGTGGTCTATCTTGGGTTAGTTATACAAATCTTTGGTTTTGTCATGCTAGTAGGCCTAGATACATAACCTTTTAGGGCATTAGAGTATTAGACTGTGTGGATAATATTAGAGATTGGACAAAGATGGGACAATCATTCTTTGAAATCTCATTGTATTTATATGGAAAACATGTAGTCTAGGCAACTAAGGTTTGAAGTACAGTAAGGTTTTGTCAACTCAACTTGAGGTGTAGCCTCCTTGCCAGGGGGTTTTGTAATGTTTAGTTTCAGGTGTAGCTGCAGGCCACTGCATACATAGAGAACAGGTTGGGCAAGTATTTCCACAGATCCCCATCTGTACATATTGTCAGGGGACACGTTTAGAGTATTGTCAAACTACAGAGACGTAGAGCATAAGAATAGAAAGTCAACGAAACAGAGAGAGAGAGAGAGAGAGAGAGACATGTTAGGGCCTTTATTTTAAAAAAAACATTGGCGATGTAACAATAGGAGAGTGCTGCCGACAGTTCCCTATGAAATGACCCGCTGTAAAGAAGCAAAACATAGCAGCGAATTTAACAGATGTTTTTATTGATTAGCATTCATGAAAATGTTAATCCAAGTCTGTACTGTGTTGTGGTGTCAACAAATTGCATGTCTGCTTTCACTGGACATCTTCATAGGTTTTGAAAACCATGAGAAATAAACAACACAACGCGCGGCAGTGGCAATTATCACTTAGCAACGGCTATGGAGGAAAAAGTGGCACTGAACATTCAGACAGAAATACTTTAACGTGTGTTGTGGTCCAGAATTTTCTCAAGTTCATCACAGCTTTGAACAAAACAAGACCAGCAGCCTGTAAATGTTTGAACGTGTGCAGCTGTTGCACAAGATCCCAGCCCAACCCCTACAACATGTCTTGGCTCAGTCTGGTGGCCAATGGCAGTTTCCATAGAGACTATCGGCCATAGGTCAGAAAGTTGTGTGATTGAGTCTGAAGTCTGAGGTTGTCGCTCTCATGACAGTGTCTCTCAGTGGAGTCACAGGAGAGCAGGACAGACAAACAGTAGTGAAAGAAAGCTAGAGGTGTTGTACTGCACACTAAGGAATGGGGTTGTGAGGTGTACTTGCACGATTGATTGGTCTCCCCATGCAGAGCGTCACATGGAAGAAACCCAGAAGCACAGGGACCTTGTCTCCCCTCTCAGTGCCCCCCAAGAAGCCACAGCCCTGGGTGCAAGTGGTCGGACATGCAGGTTGGTTCTTTCTCTGTCTGAATTTATTTATTTAATTGATAAACTTCTGCCTTTCTGTATTGTGAAGTTAGTCTTTCTTGCTGTCTTACTGCTAATAGAAGATGGCTGTGTAGTACCAATGTGTTTTGAGGGTATAAAATGCCTCGTCTCTTGCCCCCTCTCGTGGCTGGTGGTCCAGGGAGCTTCCATGCAGGGGACTATGGGATGCTGCTGAAGCGCTACACTGAGGGGGAGCAGCAGTGCCTGCAGAGGCTAATGGAGGACTCTCTGAGACCCTTTGTGCCAGGCTACCACGGAGTGGTGCAACGGGCCGGGCAGGACTACAACATGATGGACGACCTGCTCACACACTTCAACTCCCCTGCCATCATGGATTGCAAGATGGGCACCCGGTGAGTGAGACTGTAATTTAGAGACACTGGGGGCTGGTTTACCCTGACCCAGATTAAACCAACCTCTTGACTAAAAAGTCCAGGAATAGGCAAACTGGAAAGTATTCAGACCCCTTCACTTTTTCCACATTTTGTTACGTTATAGCCTTATTCTAAAATGTATTAAAAACATTTTTTTCCTCATCAATCTACACACAATACCCCATAATGACAAAGCGAAAACAGGTTTTTAGAAAGTTTTACAAAACCCCCCAGAAATACCTTATTTACATAAGTATTCAGACCCGTTGCTATGAGACTCGAAATTGAGCTCAGGTGCATCCTGTTTCCATTGATCATCCTTGAGATGTTTCTACAACTTGATTGGAGTCCACCTGTGGTAAATTCAATTGATTGGACATGATTTGGAAAGGCACACACCTGTCTATATAAGGTCCCACAGTTGACAGTGCATGTCAGAGCAAAAACCAAGCCATGAGGTCGAAGGAATTGACTGTAGAGCTCCGAGACAGGATTGTGTTGAGGCACAAATCTGGGAAAAGGTACCAAAACATTTCTGCAGCATTGAAGGTCCCCAAGAACACAGTGGCTGCCATCATTCTTAAATGGAAGAAGTTTCGAACCACCAAGACTCTTTCCTAGAGCTGGCTGCCCGGCCAAACTGAGCAATCGGGGGAGAAGGGCCTTGGTCAGGGAGGTGATGGTCACTCTGACAGAGCTCTAGAGTTCCTCTGTGGAGATGGGAGAACCTTCCAGAAGGACAACCATCTCTGCAGCACTCCACCAATTAGGCCTTTATGGTAGAGTGGCCAGACGGAAGCCACTCCTCAGTAAAAGGCACATGACAGCCCGCTTGGAGTTTGCCAAAAGGCACCTAAAGGACTCAGACCATGAGAAACAAGATTCTCTGGTTTGATGAAACCAAGATTGAACTCTTTGGCCTGAATGCCAAGCGTCACGTCTGGAGGAAACCTGGCACCATCCCTACGGTGAAGCATGGTGGTGGCAGCATCATGCAGTGGGAATGTTTTTCAGCGGCAGGGACTGGGAGACTAGTCAGGATCGAGGGGAAAAATGAAAGATGAACAGAGCGAAGTACAGAGAGATCCTTGATGAAACCCTGCTCCAGAGCGCTCAGGACCTCAGACTGGAGCGAAGGTTCACCTTCCAACAGGACAACGACCCTAAGCACACAGGCAAGACAATGCAGGAGTGGCTTCAGGACAAGCGTCTGAATGTCCTTGAGTGGCCCAGCCAGAGCCCAGACTTGAACCCGAAAAAAAACACCTCTGGAGAGACCTGAAAAAAGCTGTACAGCGACGCCCTCCATCAAACCAGACCGAGCTTGAGAGGTTCTGCATAGAAGAATGGGAGAAACTCCCCAAATACAGACGTGCCAAGCTTGTAGCGTCATACCCAAGAACACTCAAGGCTGTAATCGCTGCCAAAGGTGCTTCAACAAAGTACTGAGTAAAGGGTCTGAATACTTATGTAAATGTGATGTTTCAGTTTTTACTTTGTCATTATGGGGTATTGTTTGTAGATTGAGGGGAAAATTCCATTTTAGAATAAGGCTGTAACAAAATGTGGAAAAAGTAAAGGGGTCTGAATACTTTCCGAATGCTCTGAATAAACCAAAGCATATGATATTTTTAGAACTACTTTTCAGTAGTTAAAAATTACACAAAATGCACACCAGGTCACCCTCCCAAAATAGTTAATTTGGACTGGACACTAAACTCCAGAAAAATAGGATGTGGAGATGTTTTCTTTTTGTTCATGTTCTTAGTATCTCATGTGAGCTGCACTGCAATTCAGTTTTCTGTATTGTAAAATGCTAAAGTGCACCAGTGTAAAGGCCTAAAATGTAGTCCTCTAAACCCATTTGAAGAGAAACCAAGTTATTAATGTGTTTTGATAAGATTAGATTCTCTCAAAGGACATTATATATATTTCAGGGGACCCACATGGGTCCCCGAACCCACGTTTGGGAACCACTGTACTACTAACCTCTCTCTCTGCATGCCTCCTGCATTTCAGCTTGCCATTGTCTGTCTCACTACTCTCTGTAAAGCAAAGTTATTTTGTGAGAATTTATAGTAGCCTATTTTTTAAGATTATAGCTAGCTTAATTTCACTCAACTGCTCCAGCTGAGGTCAGGCTCCATCTAACGTTAGCATCTAATGTCATCCTTCTAGCCAGCTAGTTATACAGTGAGCCATCTGGCTAACAGTAGCCAGGGCCCCCCCGTTAGCTAGCCATCTGACTGAAATATCAGCGACTATTTACCAGTTGTACACTCATTCTCTGAGAGTCTTTTTTTGTCTGTCTTGACACGGCTGGAGTAAAGGAACATTTAAAAAAAAAACGCCATAAGCCTCCCGAGTGGCACAGCGGTCTAAGGCACTGCATCGCAGTGCTTGAGGCGTCGTGTGTTCGATCCCGGGCTATGTCGCAGCCGGCCGTGACCGGGAGACCCATTTGGCCCAGCATCGTCCGGGTTAGGGGAGGGTTTGTCCCATCGCGCTCTTGCGACTCCTGTGGAGGGCCGGGCGCATGCACGCTGACTCAGTCGCCAGTTATATAGTGTTTCCTCCGACACATTGGTGCGGCTGGCTTCCGGGTTAAGCGAGCAGTGTGTCAAGAAGGAGTGCGGCTTGGCAGGGTCGTGTGTCTGAGGACGCATGGCTCTCGAACTTCGCCTCTCCCGAGTCCGTACGGGAGTTGCAGCGATGGGACAAGACTGTAACTACCAATTGGATATCACAAAATTGGGGAGGAAAAGGGGTAAAAAAAAAAAAAAAACACCCCTTATGTGCGGCATTTTGCAAGACCATTGTCAGCGGCGTCTCTCTCTGCCACTTGCCAGCGTTGGTCTGGGCAGAGGTGGTTTGTTTCACATCTAGGCCTGTGCCTTGTGCGGAGTTTGCCGTTGGGCAGAGTGGTGAATGAATGCGCTGCTAACAAGGCACATCATGGGGTAGCAGGCGAGCATACCTGAATTATGATTTCACTCTTTCGCAGAGGCAGGCGCGATTAGAATATTAGCGTTCTGAGCTTTGATCAACGTAATAATAATAATAATAAGTAGGTACACTATAATTAACAAAATAAAAAGGTTAGTAAACACTTTACGTGCGTTTAGCCTCCGCTACATCCCTGCTTGTGGTCCGTATGCATGTAATATTGAGCTGTCTGCTCTGTTAGGACATACTTGGAGGAGGAGCTGGCGAAGGCTCGGGAGCGGCCCCAGCCTCGTCAGGACATGTATGAGAAGATGGTGGACGTGGACCCAGAGGCCCCCACTGCAGAGGAGCGAGCCCTACAGGCAGTACTCAAGACCAGATACATGCAGTGGAGAGAGACCCTGAGCTCCACCACCACTCTGGGCTTCCGCATCGAGGGATTCAAGGCACGGACACACACACACACACACACACACACACACACACACACACACACACACAGCCTGGGGCAAGTGAACTGAGTAAGTTGAGCCTGCTCTGAGGTTGCCCAGGTGTAAAAAAATAAAATAAAACATGAAAACCTTCTGGTTCATCCACATTGTTTAAGTCACATGTGTCAAACACAAGGACACATTTCTATCAGGCAGCAAGCATTGCCAATGTGCTGCGTGCCAAACGGCAGTGCATTGCCACACATGCCCCTCCTCCCAGACCCACACACATGAGCCAGCCAGTGTGCTGTTTAATATCAGTACTCATGACACTGACCGAATCTTCTACCTGCTAAATGTCAATGCTAAGTTTCGGTTCCAACGGGTCATTGCTGTACAAATGTCCCCTTGGTTGTCAAAAAGTTAGTAGGCTAGATAAAGGATTCACACGCTAGTATAAATTACTACTGTAGGACACATGCAAGTATAAATGAGTCGACAATTGTCATCTACTTTATGAAATTACAGCCTGAATTCAACTCGTCTTTCACGCGCAGTGGAGTGAAAGTGTACAGACACATGCCACAGTCCTAGCTAGGCTACTAAAATGTTGGGGTCTGGCTTCAGTTTTTAAAGCTTGACAATGAATAACCAAAAAACCAAACCTACAACAAAACACCAATGCGAAAGAGAAACATGTAGGCCTATTACAGCAACATTTGAGCAGTAGCCTAGGCTGCCTACTCAACTGCAAGAAGTTGAGCGCACCATACAGCAATGCTGCATACAACCACACCCATGATCCATGCAGTGCAATTTAAAACATGTTTTAAGTTAATGTTATAACAACCTAGCTATGTTTTTAATTGGAGTCTTTAAATACATTTTGATTAGGGTAGCAGCAAAGGCTGGACAAATATTAGCCTATTTCTCTTCTTTTGTTTTATTTATGTTAAAATGCCATATACAGCATCCTATGTACGTTTATAAGACATTGTAAAGGGACATATTATTTTTAATGAAACAATGGCCAGTTTGGGTAGCAGTTGTATGCACGTTTATATGTAAAAACAAACAGGCTATGTCTGGCCCGCGAATTCATTGTTTTTTCAATATGGCCCGTGCGGTGATTGAGTTTGACGCCCCTGGTTTAAGTGAAGTATGTAAAAGTTGAGACTGCTCTGTGGTTTCCCCATTAGGCAGGGGATTTCTTTAAAAATGAAAACAACCAAACTGCAAATAATTCCAGTAGCCTAACATACACTCACTCCCCTAAGCATTTATTTGGACGGTGAAGCTAAAATGTTTAATTTGGCTCTATACTCCAGCATTTTGGATTTGAGGACGTTTTTCATATTAGGCGACAGTACAGAATGTCACCTTTTATTTGAGGGTATTTACATACATATCCATTTTACCGTTTAGAAATGAAAGGACTTTATATATCTAGCTACCATCTAGAAGGAGGAGACTGTACATGTGCTTCAAAGTTGGGATCAAGAGACTGATAAACAGCTTCTATCACCAGGCCATCAGACTGCCTCCGCCCAGTAGCCTGCCCTGAACTTTAGTCACTGTTACTAGCCGGCTACTTCCCGGTACTCAACCCTGCACCTTAGAGACTGCTTTCCCTATTTACATAGTCATTGAACACTGGTCACTTTAATACTGTTTACATACCGTTTTACCCACTTTATGTGTATATACTGTATTCTAGTCAAGGCTCATCTTATAACTACTGCTGTACACACCTTTTTCTATTCAAGTACTGTCCATACTATCTCTACAGTGCCTTCAGAAAGTATACATTTGATCAAATCAAATACAGAAAGATCTAATTTACATAAGTATTCACACCACTGAGTCAATACATGTTAGAATCTTTGGCAGCGATTACAGCTGTGAGTCTTTTCTGGGCAAATCTCTAAGAGCTTTGCATACCTGGACTATACAATATTTGCCCATTTATCCTTTTTTAAAAATTCTTTAAGCTCTGTCAAGTTGGTTGTTGATCATTGCTAGACAGCCATTTTCAAGTCTTGCCATAGATTTTCAAGCAGATTTAAGTAAACTGTAACTAGGCCACACAGGAGCATTCAATGTTGTCTTGGTAAGCAACTCCAGTGTATATTTGGCCTTGTGTTTTAGGTTATTGTCCTGCTGGAAGGTGAATTTGCTTAGCTATATTCCGTTTATTTTTATCCTAAATAGCTCCCTAGTCCTTGCCGATGACGATCATACCCATAACATGATGCAGCCAATACCATGTATGAAAATATGAAGAGTGGTACTCAGTGACGTGTTGGATTTGCCCCAAACATAACGCTTTGTATTCGGGACATAATGTTTTTAATTTTTACCCATCTACCAATGGGTGCCCTTCTTTGCGAGGGATTGGATTGGGAAACCTCCCTGGTCTCTTTGGTTGAATCTGTGTTTGAAATTCACTGGTCGACTGAGGGACCTTACAATTATCTGAATGTTTGGGTACAGAGATGAGGTAGTCCATAAAAAAATCGATTAAAAAAATGGTCTGTAACACAACAAAATGTGTAAAAAGTCAAGGTGTGTGAATACTTTCTGATGTCACTGTAGATGGATATATATAAAATGCCTTCAAAGTATTCACACCCCTTGACTTTTTCCACATTTTGTTGTCACTGGCTTACACACGTGATGTCAAAGTGGAATTATGTTTTTAGAAATTAATTAAAAGTGAAAAGCTGAAATGTCTTGTCAATAAGTATTCAACCCCTTTGTAATGGCAAGCCTAAATAAGTTCAGGAGTAGAAATGTGCTTAACAAGTCACATAATACGTTGCATAGACTCACTCTGTGTGCAATAATAGGGTTTAACATTATTTTTTTAATGAATACCTCATCTTTGTACACCACACATACAATTATCTGTAAGGTCCCTCAGTCGAGCAGTGAATTTCAAACACCAATTCAACCACAAAGACAAGGGAGGTTTTCCAATGCCTCGCAAAGAAAGGCACCTATTGGTAGATGGGTATTCAAAAAAAAAAAGCAGACATTGAAGATCCCTTTGAGCATGGTGAATGTATTAATTAGACTTTGGATGGTGTATCAATACGCCCAGTCACTACAAAGATACAGGCGTCCTTCCTAACTCAGTTGCCGGACAGAAAGGGAACCGCTCAGGGATTTCACCATGATGTGACAGATTTTGAGTGTATGAACAATACTCCATCACCTATTCTGCCTTCCTCTTGTGATGATTTGGTTAACTTTAATAGCAAATGAAGGGCAACCATTGATGCCATAGCTCCAGTAAAGTTGAAAAAGGCCACATCCAAACGGAAAGCCCCTTGGATGAGTAAGGAAACTAATGCATTAAAGAGCAATTGCGGAAGTGGAGAAAGGCAAAAGTTGCAGGTACATTATGATATTCTGAGAGAGCAACTTGGCATATATATCAAGGCAATTAGAAATGCCAGATGGGCTCATTTTTCTAACGTGATCACTAATGATCAGAATACTTTGAGTGCTTTACTCAACCATTGGTCTGATACATCCTACCCCCGCAAACCTATGTGAACTTTCCTCCACATCTAAATGTGATGAGTTTGCGATATATTTCAGAGATAAGATAAAAAAAATTTGGCTGGGTATCAGTCAAGCAAGACCTGATGAGGAGTTTGACCTGTGCCCTACTCTACCACACGAAGGCACTATGAATGTATTTTCTCTGGTTGACACAGACATGCTCAGGAAAGTGATATCACAACTTAAGCCTTTTACCTGCCTTCTCGATCCTATCCCCACCACCTTCTTCAAAACAGTTTTTAATTGCATATCTGAAGTGCAAGCTATTGTTAATCACTTCCTGTTCACAGGCAATTTCCCCACTGTACTAAAAACTGCTATGGTGAAATCCCTTCTGAAGAAAATCTAGATTCTTCAGCTCTTAGCAATTTTCGGCCAATCTCCAACCTTCCATTCTTAAGCAAAATTCTGGAGAAATTGTTTTTCAAACAGCTAAATTGTGCCAACTGTATTTTTGAAAAATTCCAATCTGGTTTTGGGGTCCGGTACTGTTCAGTTTATATGTTACCCCTTGGCAGCGTTATCAGATACACAGCTTTACATTTCTGTCACCAGAGGATTTTAGCTCCATGGATAAATTATTAATCTGTATTATTAGTAATTTAAATACTTGGATGGCTCACAACTTCCTTTAGCTAAATCAAGACAAGACCGAGGTATGTATTGTTGGAGCCAAAGCACAGAGAGAGAATCGGGCTGCACATTTTAATTCACAGGCAATAAAGATAAAACGCCATGTAAAAAAATCTAGGTGTTATTTTAAATTCTGAACTCTATTTCAATCACACATTAGGAATGTGACCAGAATAGCGTTTTACCACCTGAGGAACATTGCCAAGGTGTGGCCGTTTCTCAGGGATGGGTTCAAAAGTATTTGATCCCCTGCTGATTTTGTACTTGCCCACTGACAAAGAAATGATCAGTCTATAATTTTAATGGTAGGTTTATTTGAACAGTGAGAGCCAGAATAACAACAAAAAAGTCAAGAAAAACGCATGTAAAAAATGTTAATTGATTTGCATTTTAATGAGGGAAATAAGTATTTGACCCCCTCTCAATCAGAAAGATTTCTGGCTCCCAGGTGTCTTTTATACAGGTAACGAGCTGAGATTAGGAGCACACTCTTAAAGGGAGTGCTCCTAATCTCAGTTTGTTACCTGTATAAAAGACACCTGTCCACAGAAGCAATCAATCAATCAGATTCCAAACTCTCCACCATGGCCAAGACCAAAGAGCTCTCCAAGGATGTCAGGGACAAGATTGTAGACCTACACAAGGCTGGAATGGGCTACAAGACCATCGCCAAGCAGCTTGGTGAGGTGATGACAACAGTTTGTGCGATTATTCTCAAATGGAAGAAACACAAAATAACTGTCAATCTCCCTCGGCCTGGGGCTCCATGCAAGATCTCACCTCGTGGAGTTGCAATGATCATGAGAACGGTGAGGAATCGGCCTAGAACTACACGGGAGGATCTTGTCAATGATCTCAAGGCAGCTGGGACCATAGTCACCAAGAAAACAATTGGTAACACACTACGCCGTGAAGGACTGAAATCCTGCAGCGCCCGCAAGGTCCCCCTGCTCAAGAAAGCACATATACAGGCCCGTCTGAAGTTTGCCAATGAACATCTGAATGATTCAGAGGAGAACTGGGTGAAAGTGTTGTGGTCAGATGAGACCAAAATCGAGGTCTTTGGCATCAACTCAACTCGCCGTGTTTGGAGGAGGAGTAATGCTGCCTATGACCCCAAGAACACCATCCCCACCGTCATGCTTTAGGGGTGTTTTTCTGCTTAGGGGACAGGACAACTTCACCGCATCAAAGGGACGATGGACGGGGCCATGTACCGTCAAATCTTGGGTGAGAACCTCCTTCCCTCAGCCAGGGCATTGAAAATGGGTCGTGGATGGGTATTCCAGCATGACAATGACCCAAAACACACGGCCAAGGCAACAAAGGAGTGGCTCAAGAAGAAGCACATTAAGGTCCTGGAGTGGCCTAGCAAGTCTCCAGACCTTAATCCCATAGAAAATCTGTGGAGGGAGCTGAAGGTTCGAGTTGCCAAACGTCAGCCTCGAAACCTTAATGACTTGGAGAAGATCTGCAAAGAGGAGTTGGACAAAATCCCTCCTGAGATGTGTGCAAACCTAGTGGCCAACTACAAGAAACGTCTGACCTCTGTGATTGCCAACAAGGGTTTTGCCACCAAGTACTAAGTCATGTTTTGCAGAGGGGTCAAATACTTATTTCCCTCATTTAAAATGCAAATCAATTTATAACATTTTTCACATGCATTTTTCTGGATTTTTGTTGTTGTTATTCTGTCTCTCACTGTTCAAATAAACCTACCATTAAAATTATAGACTGATCATGTCTTTGTCAGTGGGCAAACATACAAAATCAGCAGGGGATCAAATACTTTTTTCCCCTCACTATAGGTGTGATCAGATTTTCCGAAGAGAGGGCGGGGTAGGGCCTTGTAGCAGTCTCAGAGCGTAGCAATGATCACTAGTTTGTGATGCGAGTGTAGCACAGGAGCTGTGTTGATAGAATTTCGGTAGCATTTTCCTCTGATTTCCTTTATTAAAGTCCCCAGCTACAATAAATGCGGCCTCAGGATATGCGGTTTCCAGTTTGCACATAGTCCAGTGTAGTTCCTTGAGAGCCGTCGTGGTGTCTGCTTGGGGGGAATATACACGACAGTGACGATGACCGAACAAAATTATCTCTGGAGGTAATGCGGTCAGCATTTGATGGTGAGGTATTCCAGATCAGGAGAACAAAAGGACTTCAGTTCCTATATGTTACCACAATGCTATTGGTAATGGTGAGAGGTTAGCATGTCTTGGGGATATGATCTTTGTGCCTCTGTAACTTTCTCACTCATTATTCACGATTCATTCATGATTATCCGTAATCCTGGTAGCATCCACATTTAATGTAGGTGTTCAGAAACATATTCTATTTCTATTTACAATACTTTGACTCCAACATGGCACAATACATTATTTACTATTTATTTATATTGGGCACAACATAATCTGAAACACAACCAAAACAAACTGCAAATGCATCCAACAACTTTGTAGAGTCACAAGCTTGATGTAGTCATTGAGTGCTAGGAATATGGGACCAAATACTAAACGTTTGACTACTTTAATACACATGTAAGTGAATTTGTCCAAATACTTATGACGCCTTCAAATGGGGGGACTAAATGCATAAAGTGCTTTCATTTCTAAATGGTAAAACACATGTATGAAAATACCGTCAAATAAAAGGTGACATTCTGTACTGTCGCCTCATATGAAACATTTGATCTCATATCCAAAATGCTGTAGTATAGAGCTAAATTAAAAGTTTTAGCTGCACTTTCCAAATAAATATGTAGGGGAGTGTAGGACCTACACTGCGGCATCACAAAAGCAGTAATTATTTTACCTGCTGCACTGGAAGCATACGTTTTGTTCAGCGCAAGCAGAGCGTCAGCCACTTTATCTTATTGCTCTGGAGCGTGAGCTGTGCGTCAGTTTTGAAAATGGAGTGTAGTTTTATGTTTGGGCAGCGGAAATATTGTGTGGAGCTGGCCTGCTCACCCCCAGGTTTCGTTGAAATGAATAGGATCGTCTCACGCTCTGCAAAAGTTGCGGGTCCAATGTTAGTGGCCAGTAAAACTTTAAGTGACCGAGTTATGGCATTCTTTGCATGTAAACAACTATTTTCACATTTTGTGACTATAATCTTCAGGCAACCCAAAAATTACTGCAGACTTGTCATTCCCTGAGGATATGTAGCCAAAAGACTTGTATATAAAGTGACCCGTTTGGGCACGCATGTCTAAACGTTTGTTAAATCCTTGTGTAGAAGGCTGATGGTGTGTGCAACACAAACTTTAAAAGGACCAAGAGCAGAGAAGAGGTGATGCAGGCACTGCAGGACTTTGTGGGTTGCAACGCCCTAATTCTGGTGAGTGTCTCTTTCTCTTAAAGCTGAAATGTGCATAAGGTGAAACAGAGCCACTGTTCGCCCTGGGCATTTTATTTGTTTTTTGTTGTTGTTAATTAAACGGAAGAGCGGAGCATCCAATATTTGCTGTACATATTCTGCTGGTCTATCGCACGTGCAATTATGTGCCATAATGTCCACGGGGGAAAAAAGTGTTTGTTTGGAGTAACTTATTTTTTGTAATATCGCAAATGGACCAAGTACGGATTCCAGCATGAATCCCCCTTTATCCCCCATCCTCTCTCAGGATTATAGCTATCTTTCTCTCTTCTATTTCAGAAGGGATATCTGAGACGAATGAAGGAGCTTCGACTGGTGTTGGAGACATCCAACTTCTTCAGAACACACGAGGTAAGCCATTAAGCACTGCTTTCATGGTATTGATGCTGGTCTATGAATGGAGAGGTGCACACTAACATCTATTTCTCTCTGCAGGTGGTGGGCAGCTCCCTACTTTTCGTGCATGACAGTACAGGGAAGACAGGAGTATGGATGATTGATTTTGGGAGGACTGTTCCCCTGCCGCCACCTCTCACCCTAGACCACCGCACCTCCTGGATAGAGGGCAACCGAGAGGATGGGTACCTGTGGGGGCTGGATAACCTCATTGACGTCCTGACCGATATGCTGCATCTCACCTGAACTGAACCTCACTCTTGACTGACTGACACAGGACCTCATCCCAACCAAAACACCCTTTCCCACCTGAACCAAATCTGAATGGCCATTTCAACTTTTACCTGAGAGGGTTGACAACCGAGAGACTGTTCACATATTGGACTTGGATTCTGTGTTAGGGGTACTGGACTACTGTCTGTGGCTATAATGAAGGCAATGGAAGATGAACAGAGGTGTATGTGATGGACAAAGGAAAATAGTAGCACAAATTCCTCAGAAGAACTAGACAACAGCAATGCAAAATTAAACACTGCCATTTTATCTTCTTCCACATCACTCCCCCTCCCCCCAAACAAATGCCCCCATTTTGTTCTATTACAATTGTACTTAATAATCATCAGTTCTAAGTTTCTTACTCCACGTTTGAGGGCTATAGGACCTAAACAAGCCATTATGCTCCCTTAATAGAGGACTCATAAAACCTAGTAGCCCTCTGCGACCTGTGTTAATGAACACTGCCTTCAAGTTTGTTTATTAGTCATATACTCATGATATACAGTGCATTCGGAAAGTGTTCAGACCCCTTGACTTTTTCCACATTCTGTTACGTTACAGCCATATTCTAAAATTGATTACATCGTTTTTTTCCCTCACAATACCCCCTAATGACAAAGCAAAAACTGGTTTTTAGAATTTTTAGCTAATTTATAAAAAATAAAAAATGGAAATATCACATTTACATAAGAATTCAGACCCTTTACTCAGTACTTTGGCAGTGATTACAGCCTTGAGTCTTATTGGGTATGACACTACAAGCTTGGCACACCTGTATTTGGGGAGTTTCTCCCATTCTTCTCTGCAGATCCTCTCAAGCTCGGTCAGGTTGGATGGACAGCGTTGCTGCACAGCTATTTTCAGGTCTCTCCAGAGATGTTAGATTGTGTTCAAATATGGGCTCTGGCTGGGCCACCCAAGGACATTCAGAGACTTGTCCCGAAGTTTTCATCAAGGATCTCTCTGTACTTTTCTCCGTTCATCATTCCCTCGATCCTGACTAGTCTCCCAGTCCCTGCCGCTGAAAAACATCCCCACAGCATGATGCTGCCACCACCATGCTTCACCGTAGGGATGGTGCCAGGTTTCTTCCAGACGTGGCACTTTGCATTCAGGCCAAAGAGTTCAATCTTGGTTTCATCAGACCAGAGAATCTTGTTTCTCATGGTTTGAGAGTCCTTTAGGTGCCTTTTGGCAAACTCCAAGCAGGCTGTCATGTGTCTTTTTACTGAGTGGCTTCCGTCTGGCCACTCTACCATAAAGGCCTGATTTGGTGGAGTGCTGCAGAGATGGTTGTCCTTGTGGAAGGTTGAGTGACCATCATGTTCTTGGTCACCTCCCTGACAATTCCTTCGACCTCATGGCTTGGTTTTTGCTCTGACATGCACTGTCAACTGTGGGACCTTATATAGACAGGTGTGTGCCTTTCCAAATCATGTCCAATCAATTGAATTTACCACAGGTGGACTCCAATCAAGTTGTAGAAACATCTCAAGGATGATCAATGGAAACAGGATGTACCTGAGCTCAATTTCGAGTCTTATAGCAAAGGATCTGAATACTTTTGTAAATAAGATATATAATAAATGTGCAAAAAAAATGTTTTGCGCTTAGTCATTATGGGGTATTGTGTGTAGATTAATGAGGGGAAAAAAATGTATTTAATCAATTTTATGATAAGGCTGTAAAGTAACAACATGTGGAAAAAGGGAAGGGGTCTGAATACTTTCTGAATGCACTGTACATAATGCCGAAATGCTTACTTGCAGGTTCAGCTCACGACAATGGAACAACAATAGAAAAGTAATTAAGTGAAAAAAAGAGTGCTATTTTTTTTTGTGCTAAAATATAATACTAGAAGGCACTCAAACGAATTGTGAATTTACAGATCCCAGGGAATTGTAAAAAAAATAAATTGACATTGTGCAGTAATATAAATAGGTGTGTGTGCGCCTATGTGTGTGAGTGCATGTGTGGTAGGGTGCAGGGAGTCAGTGCAAGAGACTGTCAGTCCCAGTTCAAGAGTTAAGTTGTCTGATGGCTTGTGGGTAAAAACTGTCTCTGAGACGGTGGTCCGGGAATAGACGCTAACGGAGTGAATAGCCCATGGCTGATGTCAGCGGGTCCTTGTTCTGTATGGTGGGGAGCACGGTTCCAGTGATGTCTTAACCACCCTCTGAAGGGCCTTGCGGGGTGAACGGAGCAGTTTCTGTATCAAGCCATGATGCAGCTGGTCAAGACGCTGTCGATGTTGCTGCATTAGAATTAGGAGAGGACCCGGGGGGCGTGCCGATTTTCTTCAGCCGTCTGAGTAAGTAGAGGCGCCTTCTTGACCAGGGTTGTGGTGTTCAGTGTTGCCAACTTAGCGACTTTGTCGCTATATTTAGCAAGTTTTCAGACCCCTCTAGCGACAAATTTTTTAAAAAGCATCTAGCGATAAATCTAGCACATTTTTCTGGTGTTATTGGAGACTTTTAGAGACTAACGTGAAGGCACGTATCGTTCTTACTCTTCTCAACGAGCAGCGGGTGCTCACCCCGACCCCAGTGGGCCCCACCCCCGTCCCAAAGCACTCGCAGGCAGCCCAGTCCTCGCACAGCAGTCCCTCCCAGCTGCAGTCAGAGCAGGAGATGTTCACCCCTCCGCGTCCAGACTGCAAATTAATCGCGCATGCGGGAAGCCGCCGCTGGCTGATCCAGCCCTGTCTTACATTCAGGGCAGGATGTAAATGTAGGGTGTTTTTTACTCACTTTTTGTCTCTACCACAGCGTTATTCCTCTCCTACAGCGTCCATCACAATTACATGCACATGGCCAATTATGCAAATTAGGTGATGTCATTTAGCGACTCTTAGGACAGCCAATAGCTACTTTCCTTACTGAGGAGTTGGCAACACTGGTGGTGTTGTCGGTCACTGTGAGGTTCAGTGATGTGGATGCAGAGGAACCTGAAGCTGCTGACTCCACTGCAGTCCCGTTGATGTGGATTGGGGTGTCCTCCCTGCTTCCTGAAGTCGGCAAACAACTCCTTTGTTTTGCTGACGTTGAGAGAGAGCTTGTCTTTGCACCACACATTTATCCCCTTATATGGGAGAGAAACGGTCTAGTTATCCTGTAAGAATGTGTGACTTTAGAGGGAAATATAGGACTGCAAACAACAACATGCTTCCAGGGATAGAGCCTAGTGGGGTATCCTGCAGGCTGGAACAATAACAACATTTGTGAATCTTAAATATCCAGTATAATCGGACAAGGAGTTCTTCACTTGCAAGAAATATGGCACAATCTTTCAGTGCCTGAACATTTCTAAATGTAAATAATTTTTATTTAAGGAGTGCCACTGCACAAATATCTTTATATTGATGAGACTGTTATGGTTTCCCCCCACCTTTGCTATACAGTACAACTAAGATATGAAGGCAAAGGCCAAATGTACAACTAGAAGTTTGTTGATGGATTTAGTAATATTATGTGAGTAGCAGTATATCAAATTGGCAGATAAAGATAGCCTGGAACTGAGTTGAACAACTGTGATATTTTGAGCAACGTCTGCAACTGGTTTCTTAGACCAGGCTACTCAACTCTTGTCTTGGGGTAATTGTTGTCCTGTGTTATTTGTCAGGCTCACACCAGTTTCAGTCAGCCGCTATGACAAAGGCATACTGAAGCGGTTGCTGTACAAAAATATTTGTATTTGTAACTGGTGCTAAATGAAAAATAATGCTAGTTAACTTTGGTAAGAGATGAGGGCGTTGCTGCCGCTGAAGCTGGACAGGATGTCGCCCTGCGCAATAGCAAAACACCTGGCCAAGCCCAGCCTAATTTCACTCCGCATGTTGTCACAGCAGTCACAGATATCCACGTTCCTCCCAGGGTCAGACCTTGATCAGCAGGTTTCCCCATCGGCTCCACTCCTTCACCCAGCCGCCCACTGAAGCCGTCAGCATGCTGCAGGTGTCGGGGCCCAGCAGCTCGGTGCTCACTGGCTGGGCATAGGTGTGGAACTTATTTAGCAGGCCTCCTATGTCCCGGCTCCATGTCTGCACGTAGCCTGTGGCATTGCCTGTGTAGCGCAGCATAGCCCGGCTGGAGCCGCGGAACTGTAGCAGCTCCCGCTGGCCAGTGTGCAGACGCATAAAAAAAGCTTTTTTCTCTCAAATTTTTGCCACAAATGTGTTTACATCCCTGTTAGTGAGCATTTCTCCTTTGCCAAGATAATCCATCCACCTGACAGGTGTGGCATATCAAGAAGCTGATTAAACAGCATGATCATTACACAGGTGCACTTTGTGATGGGGGCAATAAAAGGCCACTCTAAAATGTGCAGTTTTGTCACACAGCACAATGACACAGATGTCTCAAGTTTTGAGGGAGTGTGCAATTGGCATGCTGACTGCAGGAATGTCCACCAGAGAATTGAATGTTAATTTCTTGTTTCTTGTTTTTGCAGTACATCCAACCGGCCTCACAACCGCAGACCACGTGTAACCACGCCAGCCCAGGACCTACACATCCGGCTTCTTCACAAGCGGGATCGTATGAGACCAGCCACCCGGACAGCTGATGAAACTGAGGAGTATTTCTGTCTGTAATAAAGCCCTTTTGTGGGGAAAACTCATTCTGAATGGCTGGGCCTGGCTCCCCAGGGTTTTTCTTTTCTTTTTACTATTTTCTTTATTGTAGAGTAATAGTGAAGACATCAAAACGATGAAATAACACATGGAATCATGTAGCAACCAAAAAAGTGTTAAAACTAATCAAAATATATTTTATATTCTTCAAAGTAGCCACCCTTTGCCTTGATGACAGCTTTGCACACTCTTGGCATTCTCTCAACCAGCTTCATGAGGAATGCTTTTCCAACAGTCTTGAAGGAGTTCCTACATATGCTGAGCACTTGTTGGCTGCTTTTCCTTCACTCTGCGGCTGAACTCATCCCAAACCATCTCAATTGGGTTGAGGTCGGGTGATTGTGGAGGCCAGATCTTCTGATGCAGCACTCCATCACTCTCCTTCTTGGTCAAATAGCCCATACACAGCCTGGAGGTGTGTTTTGGGTCATTGTCCTGTTGAAAAACAAATGACAGTCCCACTAAGCGCAAACCAGATGGAATGGTATATCGCTGCAGAATGCTGTGGTAGCCATGCTGGTTAAGTGTGCCTACAATTCTAAATGGTGTCACCAGCAAAGCACCATCACACCTCCTCCTCCATGCTTCATGGTGGGAACCACACATGCAGAGATCATCTGTTCACTTACTCTGCGTCTCACAAAGACACAGCGGTTGGAACCAAAAATCTCAAATTTGGACTCCTCAGACCAAAGGACAGATTTCCACCGGTCTAATGTCCATTGCTCATGTTTCTTGGCCCAAGCATGTCTCTTCTTCTTATTGGTGTCCTTTAGTAGTGGGTTCTTTGCATGAAGGCTTGATTCACGCAGTCTCCTCTAAACAGTTGATGTTGAGATGTGTCTGTTACTTGAACTCTGTGAAGCATTTATTTGGGCTGCAATCTGAGGTGCAGTTAACTCTAATGAACTTATCCTCTGCAGCAGAGGTAACTTTGGGTCTTCCTTTCCTGTGGCGGTCCTCATAAGAGCCATTTTCATCATAGCGCTTGATGGTTTTTACGACTGCACTTAAAGAAACTTTCAAAGTTCTTGAAATGTTCCGGATTGACTCACCTTCATGTCTTAAAGAAATGATGGACTGTCATTTCTCTTTGCTTATTTGAGCTGTTCTTGCCATAATAATATGGACTTGGTCTTTTATCAAATAGGGCTATCTTCTGTATGCCCCCCCTACCTTGTCACAACACAACTGATTGGCTCAAACGCATTAAGAAGGAAATAAATTCAAGAAATTAACTTATAACAAGGCACACCTGTTTAATTGAAATGCATTCCAGGTGACTACCTCATGAAGCTGGTTGAGAGAATGCCAAGAGTGTGCAAAGCTGTCATCAAGGCAAAGGGTGGCTACTTTGAAGAATCTCAAATATATTTAGTTTTGTTTAACACTTTTTTGGTTATTACACGATTCCATATGGGTTATTTCATAGTTTGGATGTCTTCACTATTATTCCACAATGTAGAAAATAGTAAAAAATTAAGAAAAACCCTGGAATGACTAGGTGTGTCCAAACTTTTGACTGGTACTCATTGATTCTTGAAGAATCTCACTTATAAATGCCTCAAAAGCATAGTCAAACTGTCATACCCCATCAGAACCCAAAATATAAGCTTGTTTTACTCTAAACAATGTAAATGTAAACAAACACTGTATAGCCTCAAAACATTGTTAAAACTATAATGTTGATGTCATGAATGGCCAGTCCTTGTATCCATAGCTCTGTCTATGAATTTGAGAGAGGTCACATTTCTCCAGGCCCATCCCATAGCTTTTTACCAAAACAGAGGTCGGGTGACCGCTTTGTTATTGTTTCAACTAAGGATTCTAGCTTTAAGCGTTAAACATTTTACCTGTATTTTTTGTTTCAGTTGTGATATAAAGGTCTTCCAGTCTGGTATAATGATTTTAATTTATCCCATCAGAGGATGCTGGTGGGAGGAGCTATAGGAGGACTGGCTCATTGTAATGCTGGAATGGAATTATTGGAACGGAGTCAAATGTGGTTTCTAGAGGTTTGATACCGTTCCATTTATTCCATTCCAGCCACTACAACGAGCCCGTCCTCAATAGCTCATCCCACCAGCCTCCTCTGGATCCCATATTTACTGTAATTCGAGTTCTCCCACGCACGTCCTAAGCGACTAGTCACATGCTTTCCGCTACAGAATTATGCTTTTCCCGCGTTCCTTTTCATGAACTGATACATTTTACTGCGTTATGATGGTCATAGAGAATTACAGAATCATTGCGACTAAGAATGTGTAATTGAAATGCTATTGTTGTGGGTTCGATAGCATAGACAATGGATTGGTTTTGTGGATTAGTCAAGTAAACTCGATTGGTGAATTAAACTAAAAGAGAGGAAGAAAATGTATGGACATCGCACATTTAAGAAATGAAAACAACAGACAGATCTGTTTAATAGTGCTGCGCCAACAGTGGACTTCATAGAATTTGATGCTACTATATGAATACATGGTTTAATCAGCAAATATTTAGAGGCAAAATAGCATGTCATGAAATGTGAATTGATTAGTTGTGCATTTGTCTTAGAGACTGCAGTATCATCAAAGTTAGACAATTCCATAAAATGCATTAAAAAGTAGTAAGTTGCTAGACAAGATAGGCTATTCAAAATAACTGCTTGTGTGACACGCACACACACAGAGGCAGAGAGCACTGTGAGTCCATTGAGGATATGTGAACTGGCTCATTGACACTGGGGAAAGGTAAATATTCAGTTTTTCCTCTACAAGTTATACCCTGATTTCTTTGTAATGTGTTTTAGCATGTGCAGGTGAGGGCTGACAAATTGTTGTATTTTGTTGCCTTGCATTCAACCACAGATCATCTGTGGTGACTGGTTACATAGTCTAAGTACTTGTTGACAAAAGCTATCCTGCTGTTTTGTGAGTGGAATTTTGCTGATAGTCTTGACCACCTGCTAATTGTTATGTGCTGCCATGAGGCCTGTGGGCACTAACCTGTGTGGGTTAGTCAATACACTTTTGCAACAATAAAGTTTTACAACCTGTTCTCTAAAGATTACCAGAAGAATGGTCATTGATTTGGTTGATACATGCTTTGTGGTTGGGATGTTAAAATGGACTGGAAAATTGATGCAATATACAAGGTCTTGCAGAAAAAAGCAATTTGTGATATTGTATGAACAAATTCCTTAAAAATTGATTTGTTCAATCTGTGATATTCATTGCAATCCAGAGCTGCGAATCCCAGTGCAGCACAATGCAGCTTGGTGTGAACAAAGAGGGCACTGACTACACTCACATGAACAATCAGCCCTTTATTACTCAGGCCCAGAGCATATAGCCCGTGCCTCTTCTAGGCTGGCTCTGGACAGCCCCTCATATAGAAAATGAGACTTGGCTATATGAGACTCCTAAAGACTGTACAAGGTTAGGGCTGAACAAGGATGCTTAGTACTACCACACACACACTGTTAGCGGTTATATTGTACATGCATGTTTTAAGTTTTACCGTTGACTTTTGCTTATGTATTTCTCTCTCCCTCACTCTCATTTTTACACTTTCAAACCAGTCTGGTCATACATTCTCCCATAGGTGACACTCTCTCCATGATGGCCTCCTATAGCCCTGCCAACGAGGGCTGGTTTGGTGAGAGGGGGGTTCACCAGGGGATTGGGCTGGACATCCTCTTCAGTGGCAGAGACTTTAACACACCTAATCTGTACTCTCCAAATGACACTCTACAACTTCAGGAGGCCAAGTCCCATTATGCCTGTCCCAGGGCCCCCCAGAGGTCCCTGCATGGCTGGGGCACATACAGCCCCCCTCCACAAAAACCCAGCCCCAGCACTGAGAGCAGAGGGGGGGCCTCCTCTGCTGCCAGGCCTGCCTCCCTCAACCAGTGCCTGGGCTACCACACCCTGCCCCGCAGAGCCCTAGCTGTCTTCAGACCCTGGTGAGTAAAATACAGGGGGAGTGAGGGAGGGACACCCTGGTGGGTGAGACATGGGGAGTGAGAGACGGGAAGGGAGAGATGGAGGAAAGGGACACACTGGTGAGAGACAGGCGTAGTGGGACAGAGACCCTGGTGGGAGGGACCCTGGTGGGGTATAGATTTATGTGTGTGAGGATTCCGGGTCAGCTGAGAGCCGCAGGGTCCCACGGAGGGGAGGGGAAATGTGGGACACACCCTCCCCTCCTCCACCACCATCGTGTGACACATAACTTATAAAAACACACTGGGTGGGGCATCGTGGCAGCAATAAATTATTGGATTAATGCTTGGGTAAGTCTCAATGATGTCAAAATTTGATTTGAATGTCTCTATGCATGCCATCTGTGAGTTTGCACGTCTGCACTGTGTGTGCATTTATTTGGTGCGTGTCTGTCTGCTGTGTGTTTGTTTGCGGTGTGTTTTTGTATGTGCTGCTGTGTGTGTCTGTGTTTGTGCTGTACCCGTGGTTCTGGTATGTGTGTGTTTGTTTTGCCTTCAGTGTCTACAGCAGCCCTCAGGGATATAACACTACCACAGTGGACAAACCTCGCATGCTTAGAGCCACTATTACATCCAGCCCCTCGGACTCCAACCACCCTGTCCAGCACCAGAGCCAAGACCAGAAGCCCAGACCAAACCAGCAGCAGGTCATCAAGCAGCAGCACCAGCCAAGCCTCAGTCCCAAGCCTGTCTACCAGCCAAGCCTCAGTCCCAAGCCTGTCTACCAGCCAAGCCTCAGTCCCATGCCTGTCTACCAGCCAAGCCTCAGTCCCAAGCCTGTCTACCAGCCAAGCCTCAGTCCCAAGCCTGTCTACCAGCCAAGCCTCAGTCCCAAGCCTGTCTACCAACCAAGCCTCAGTCCCAAGCCTGTCTACCAACCAAGCCTCAGTCCCATGCCTGTCTACCAACCAAGCCTCAGTCCCAAGCCTGTCTACCAACCAAGCCTCAGTCTCAAGCCTGTCTACCAACCAAGCCTCAGTCCCAAGCCTGTCTACCAACCAAGCCTCAGTCCCAAGCCTGTCTACCAACCAAGCCTCAGTCTCAAGCCTGTCTACCAACCAAGCCTCAGTCTCAAGCCTGTCTACCAACCAAGCCTCAGTCCCAAGCCTGTCTACCGACCAAGCCTCAGTCCCAAGCCTGTCTACCGACCAAGCCTCAGTCCCAAGCCTGTCTACCAACCAAGCCTCAGTCCCATGCCTGTCTATAGGAGACTCACAACCTGGCAGCACAAGGACAACACCAATACAGACAGCAACACCATCAAGACCAACAACAGCCCTCACAGTAACAGCATCAAGAGGTGAGTTATTCTATATTAATGCAGTTGTTGTATAGTGCCTGCATCAAGTACTTCATGAATGTGTAATTAATTGATTTATAATTTGATTATAGTTCTGTAATGTTTAGAGAAAAGGGTATTTGAGATCTGAGTGGACAGAGGAGGATTTCTATTAAGTTGATCCAGACAGGATTTGCAGCGTGTTGAGATTGATTGATTGATTACTGAGTAACTGTACGGTACCACTCTGTAATCAGACAGGTGGACATGACGTCCCAGAACGTGTTTGGTCAGCCGCGTGTCCTGGCCTCGCTGCGGGGCCCGCCCTTTGCACGACAGACCCACAAGACATCTAACCTAGAGGAGGAACTGAGGAGGCTCATCATACTGGACAACACATCAGAGGACTCAGGGAGGGATGCAGTGAGTTAGGCTGCGTTTACACAGGCAGACGAATTCTGATATTTTTTCCACTAATTGTTCTTTTGACCAATCACATCAGATCTTTTCACAGCAGACCTTTTTCAGAGCTGATCTGATTGGTCAAAAGACCAATTAGTGAAAAAATATCAGAATTGGGCTGCCTGTGTAAAGGCAGCCATTTAGAAACACATCATAGATGCACATGCGAGGCGATAGAGAAATAAGTGTAGCCGATCCTACACCACCCCAGGTTTAAAGAAGAGCATTGGGAACTCTGCCTAACATACATACAAGTTCTTAAAGTTTGGGTTAAGTGGCAATAAAGAAGTCAACAAAAAGGTTGCAAGTTTACAAGTTTTATTTTCTCCTTCTCCAACATTTGTCAAAACCTCAGACTTCTCTTTTAAGCCTAGTTAAAGGACAAGGAGCACACAGGAGAACACAATGAAATATACAAACAAACAAAAACAGGTTCTGGACTGGTGCAGGGTCGAGGGAAGAACTACCTAAACATTAATTCATATTCAAATCAAGATTAATCAAATATATTCTCTCAACTTAGTCAGACAGTCAAAAACTAACAACCAGCCACATGGCAAGTTCCCACTTACCTGCAAGTTCCCCAGCGGATGCACCTCAAACAAAAAAGAGAAAGTATTTAAAGAAATAGAATATAATTACTTTAGTCGTGGCAAGTCGGATAAGATAGCATAAAGATATACTGTAAACATAATAACAGCAACATTCACACATGAATGATACAAATGCTTACAAAGTATATATATATACGCTACCGGTCAAAAGTTTTAGAACACCTACTCATCCAAGGGTTTTTCTTTATTTTTACTATTTTCTACATTGTAGAATAATAGTTAAGACATCAACACTATGAAATAACACATATGGAATCATGTAGTAGCCAAAAAAGTGTTAAACAAATCAAAATATATTTTGTATTTGAGATTATTCAAATAGCCACCCTTTGCCTTGATGACAGCTTTGCACTCTTGGCATTCTCTCAACCAGCTTCACCTGGAATGCTTTTCCAACAGTCTTGAAGGAGTTCCCACATATGCTGAGCACTTGTTGGTTGCTTTTCCTTCACTCTGCGGTCCGACTCATCCCAAACCATGTCAATTGGGTTGAGGTCGGGGATTGTGGAATCCAGGTCATCTGATGCAGCACTCCATCACTCTCCTTATTGGTAAAATAGCCCTTACACAGCCTGGAGGTGTGTTGGGTCATTGTCCTGTTGAAAAACAAATGATAGTCCCACTAAGCCCAAACCAGATGGGATGGCGTATCGCTGCATAATGCTGCGGTAGCCATGCTGGTTAAGTGTGCCTTGAATTCTAAATAAATCACTGACCGTGTCACCAGCAAAGCACCCCCACACCATAAAACCTCCTCCTCCATGCTTTACGGTGGGAAATACACATGCGGAGATCATCCGTTCACCCACACCGCGTCTCACAAAGACACGGCGGTTGGAACCAAAAATCTCCAATTTGGACTCCAGACCAAAGGACACATTTCCACAGGTCTAATGTCCATTGCTCATGTTTCTTGGCCCAAGCAAGTCTCTTCTTCTTATTGGTGTCCTTTAGTAGTGGTTTCTTTGCAGCAATTCGACCATGAAGGCCTGATTCACGCAGTCTCCTCTGAACAGTTGATGTTGAGATGTGTCTGTTACTTGAACTCTGTGAAGCATTTATTTGGGCTGCAATCTGAGGTGCAGTTAACTCTAATAAACTTATCCTCTGCAGCAGAGGTAACTCTGGGTCTTCCTTTCCTGTGACGGTCCTCACGTGAGCCAGTTTCAACATAGCGCTTGATGGTTTTTGCATCTGCACTTGAAGAAACGTTCAAAGTTCTTGAAATTGACTGACCTTAATGTCTTAAAGTAATGATGGACTGTCGTTACTCTTTGCTGATTTGAGCTGTTCTTGCCATAATATGGACTTGGTCTTTTATCAAATAGGGCTATCTTCTGTATACCACCCCTACCTTGTCACAACACAACCGATTTGGCTCAAACGCATTAAGAAGTTCCACAAATTAACAATTAACAAGGCACACCTGTTAATTGAAATGCATTCCAGGTGACTACCTCATGAAGCTGGTTGAGAGAATGCCAAGAGTGTGCAAAGCTGTCATCAAGGCAAAGGGTGGCTATTTTGAAGAATCTGAAATATACAATATATTTTGATTCGTTTAACACTTATTTGGTTACTACATGATTCCACGTGTGTTATTTCATCGTTTTGATGTCTTCACTATTATTCTACAATGTAGAAAATAGTAAAAATAAAGAAAAATTCTTGAATGAGTAGGTGTGTCCAAACTTTTGACTGGTACTGTAAGTATTCAGACCCTTTACTCAGTACTTTGTTGAAGCACCTTTGGCAGCGATTATAGCCTCAAGTCTTCTTGGGTATGACGCTACAAGCTTGGCTCACCTGTATTTGGGGAGTTTCTCCCATTCTTCTTTGCAGATCCTCTCAAGCGCTCTCAGGTTGGATGGGGAGTATCGCTGCACAGCTATTTTCAGGTCTCTCTAGAGATGTTCGATCTTGTTCAAGTCCGGGCCCTGGCTGAGCCACTCAAGGACATTCAGAGACTTGTCCCGAAGCCACTCCTGCGTTGTCTTGGCTGTGTGCTTAAGGTCGTTGTCCTGTTGGAAGGTGAAACTTCGCTCCAGTCTGAGGTCCTGAGCACTCTGGAGCAGGTTTTCATCAAGGATCTCTCTGTACTTTGCTCCGTTCACCTTTCCCTCAATCCTGACTAGTCTCCCAGTCCCTGCCGCTAAAAAACATCCCCACGGAGGGATGCTGCCACCACCATGCTTCACCGTAGGGATGGTGCAAGGTTTCCTCCAGACGTGACGCTTGGCATTCAGGCCAAAGAGTTCAATCTTGGTTTCATCAAACCAGAGAATCTGGTTTCTCATGGTCTGAGAGTCCTTTAGGTGCCTTTTGGCAAACTCCAAGCGGGCTGTCATGTGCCTTTTACTGAGGAGTGGCTTCCGTCTGGCCACTCTACCATAAAGGCCTGATTGTTGGAGTGCTGCAGAGATGGTTGTCCTTCTGGAAGGTTCTCCCATCTCCACAGAGGAATTCTGGAGCTCTGTCAGAGTGACCATTGTGTTCTTGGTCACCTCCCTGACCAAGGCCCTTCTCCCTCGAATGCTCAGTTTGGCTGGGTGGCCAGCTCTAGGAAGAGTCTTGGTGGTTCCAAACTTCTTCCATTTAAGAATGATGGAGGCCACTGTGTTCTTGGGGAACTTCAAGGCTGCAGAAATGTTTTGGTACCCTTCCCCAGATCTGTGCCTCGACACAATCTTGTCTCGGATCTCTATGGACAATTCCTTCAACCTCATGGCTTGGTTTTTGCTCTGACATGCACTGTCAACTGTGGGACCTTATATAGACAGGTGTGTGCCTTTCCAAATCATGTCCACAAGTGGACACCAATCAAGTTGTAGAAACATCTGAAGGATGATCAATGAAAACAGGATGCACCTGAGCTCAATTTCGAGTCACATAGCAAAGGGTCTGAATACTTATGTAAATATGGTATTTCTGTTTTTTATTTTTTATAAATGTGCAATAATTTATATAAACCTGTTTTCACTTTGTCATTATAGGGTATTGTGTGTAGATTGATGAGAAAAATGTTAATTTAATCAATTTTAGAATAAGGCTGTAACGTAACAAAATGTTGAAAAAGTCAAGGGGTCTGAATACTTTCCGAATGCACTGTGTGTATGTGTATATATATATATATATATATATATATATATATATATATATACAGATACAGATACAGATACAGCTCTGGAAAAATTAAGAGACCACTGCAAAAAAAATAATAATCAGCATCTCTTCATGTATGACAGCCATTCCATTCCAGTGTCTGTTGAATTCCAACACAGGCACACCTCATTCTACCTAATTAGATACTGATTAGGTGATCACCTGAACCAAATCTTATTTAACGGGGAAAAGTATAAAAACCACTGCTGTGGTCATCACTATCCTCTTGCAATAGGACCAGCTGGATGGCAAAAACAGTGCTAATAGTAATATTAATAAAAAAAGAACTACTGACCATGCCAAAAGAGTTGAAAAGGAAAGTTTTGAGTGTGGAAAATAAAGGTTCAATTCTGGCTTTACTGGCAGAGGGATACAGTGAGCGTCAGGTTGCTTCCATCCTTAAAATGTCAAAGACGGCGGTTCATAAGAACAAGGTCAAGCAGCAGACATTGGGGACAACAAAGCTACAGACCGGCAGAGGGTGAAAACGACTCTCTACTGACCGGGATGACCGCCAACTCATTCAAATGGCACTCAACAACCGTAGGATGACATCAAGTGACCTACAAAAAGAATGGCAAACGGCAGCTGGGGTGAAGTGCACGGCGAGGACGGTTCGAAACAGGCTCCTAGGGGCTGGGCTGAAGTCGTGCAAAGCTAGAAAAAAGCCCTTCATCAATGAGAAGCAAAGAAGAGCCAGGCTGAGGTTTGCAAAAGACCATAAGGATTGGACCATAGAGGACTGGAGTAAGGTCATCTTCTCTGATGAGTCCAATTTTCAGCTTTGCCCAACACCTGGTCGTCTAATGGTTAGACGGAGACCTGGAGAGGCCTACAAGCCACAGTGTCTCGCACCCACTGTGACATTTGGTGGATCGTGGATCTGGGGGTGCTTCAACAAGGCTGGAATTGGGCAGATTTGTCTTTGTAAAGAACGCATGAATCAAGCCATGTACAAGGTTGTCCTGGAAGAAAACTTGCTTCCTTTTGCTCTGACATTGTTCCACAACTCTGAGGATTGTTTTTTCCAGCAGGACAATGCGCCATGCCACACAGCCAGGTCAATCAAGGTGTGGATGGAGGACCACCAGATCAAGACCTTGTCATGGCCAGCCCAATCTCCAGACCTGAACCCCATTGAAAACTTCTGGAATGTGATCAAGAGGAAGATGGATGGTCACAAGCCATCAAACAAAGCCGAGCTGCTTGAATTTTTGTGCCAGGAGTGGCATAAAGTCACCCAACATCAATGTGAAAGACTGGTGGAGAGCATGCCAAGACGCATGAAAGCTGTGATTGAAAATCAGGGTTATTCCACCAAATATTGATTTCTGAACTCTTCCTAAGTTAAAACATTACTATTGTGTTGTTTAAAAATGAACATGAACTTATTTTCTTTGCATTATTCGAGGTCTGACAACACTGTATCTTTTTTGTTATTTTGACCAGTTGTCATTTTCTGCAAATAAATGCTCTAAATGACAATATTTTTTTGGGGAATTTGGGAGAAATGTTGTCAGTAGTTTATAGAATAAAACAAAAATGTTATTTTTACCCAAACACATACCTATAAATAGTAAAACCAGAAAAACTGATAATTTTGCAGTGGTCTCTTAATTTTTTCCGCAGCTGTATATATACAGTGGGGAGAACAAGTATTTGATACACTGCTGATTTTGCAGGTTTTCCTACTTACAAAGCATGTAGAGGTCTGTAATTTTTATCACTTCAACTGTGAGAGACGGAATCTAAAACAAAAATCCAGAAAATCACATTGTATGATTTTTAAGTAATTAATTTGCATTTTATTGCATGACATAAGTATTTGATCACCTACCAACCAGTAAGAATTCCGGCTCTCACAGACCTGTTAGTTTTTCTTTAAGAAGCCCTCCTGTTCTCCACTCATTACCTGTATTAACTGCACCTGTTTGAACTCGTTACCTGTATAAAAGACACCTGTCCACACACTCAATCAAACAGACTCCAACCTCTCCACAATGGCCAAGACCAGAGAGCTGTGTAAGGACATCAGGGATAAAATTGTAGACCTGCACAAGGCTGGGATGGGCTACAGGACAATAGGCAAGCAGCTTGGTGAGAAGGCAACAACTGTTGGCGCAATTATTAGAAAATGGAAGAAGTTCAAGATGACGGTCAATCACCCTCGGTCTGGGGCTCCATGCAAGATCTCACCTCGTGGGGCATCAATGACCATGAGGAAGGTGAGGGATCAGCCCAGAACTACACGGCAGGACCTGGTCAATGACCTGAAGAGAGCTGGGACCACAGTTTCAAAGAAAACCATTAGTAACACACTACGCCGTCATGGATTAAAATCCTGCAGCGCATGCAAGGTCCCCCTGCTCAAGCCAGCGCATGTCCAGGCCCGTCTGAAGTTTGCCAATGACCATCTGGATGATCCAGAGGAGGAATGGGAGAAGGTAATGTGTTCTGATGAGACAAAAATAGAGCTTTTTGGTCTAAACTCCACTCGCCGTGTTTGGAAGAAGAAGAAGGATGAGTATAACCCCAAGAACACCATCCCAACCGTAAAGCATGGAGGTAGAAACATCATTCTTTGGGGATGCTTTTCTGCAAAGGGGACAGGACGACTGCACCGTATTGAGGGGAGGATGGATGGGGCCATGTATTGCGAGATCTTGGCCAACAACCTCCTTCCCTCAGAGCATTGAAGATGGGTCGTGGCTGGGTCTTCCAGCATGACAACGACCCGAAACACACAGCCAGGGCAACTAAGGAGTGGCTCCGTAAGAAGCATCTCAAGGTCCTGGAGTGGCCTACCCAGTCTCCAGACCTGAACCCAATAGAAAATCTTTGGAGGGAGCTGAAAGTCCGTATTGCCCAGCGACAGCCCCGAAACCTGAAGGATCTGGAGAAGGTATGGAGGAGTGGGCCAAAATCCCTGCTGCAGTGTGTGCAAACTTGGTCAAGACCTACAGGAAACGTATGATCTCTGTAATTGCGAACAAAGGTTTCTGTACCAAATATTAAGTTCTGCTTTTCTGATGTATCAAATACTTATGTCATGCAATAAAATGCAAATGATTTACTTAAAAATCATACAATGTGATTTTCTGGATTTTTGTTTTAGATTCCGTCTCTCACAGTTGAAGTGTACCTATGATAAAAATGACAGACCTCTACATGCTTTGTAAGTAGGAAAATCTGCAAAATCGGCAGTGTATCAAATACTTGTTCTCCCCACTGTGGTATATATATATATATATATATATATATATATATATATATATATATATATATATATATATATATACAGAAGATAAATGTAAGTCACAAAAATCTATTTTAATTTAAGAGCTGTACTGATGATGGTACTAAACTGTTAGTGGCTCTCTTGCTTTTTGTAGGTGAATACCTGAGTCTGTGCCCTCATTCAGCCAATTAAATTACAGGATCAATCATTCAATTAGCAGTTTTTTTTCTCAAAGCAAGGTAGGATGCAGAAGAAAATAGAGGCTCTTTGTCAGACCTGTGACACACAGATGTTGAATATAGTTCTAACTTACTCAAATTCAATATGAGTACGAACCTTAAAGTTACAGAGTATGTCCATGTAGACATTTGACTGACCACAGCTCTGTCCCCTAGTCCTGCCGTCATAGCCTCTCTACAGAGATCAGCCTAGGCAGGGGTCCCCTGGACTCCAGTCTGGCATGTTCCCCAGTGTCTGACTGCCCAGAGCTGGAGGGGCTAGAGGACCTGTCTGCCTCTGAGCTGTCCCTGACAGAGGGCTGGGATCCTGGGCACATCCCACTACTGGACCCTACCTGGAGCCTGGAGTGGAGCAAACTGGTCAACGCTGCCAAGGCCTATGAGGGTAGGAGACTCAGTGTGCAAGAAGCATGTCTATGTGCCTGAGTTTGCCTATGAATGTTTGTGAGAGACATGGCATTTTAGACCAAATGAGAATATGCAATGAATTTTGTGATATCAGTGTATGTTTATATTTTTATGTTTGTAGCACAGAGGACAGTGGAGCCCATTCATCCCAGCAAGCCCAAGAAGCATGGTTCAGAGGGTGGACCTGCTGCTTGCCCACCCAATCACTACCCTCCTCATGGCTACAATGCCCTGCCCACATTAAGAAGGTACAGTACACAAACACACACACACTCTCTCTCTCTCTCTCTCTCTCTCTCTCTCTCTCTCTCTCTCTCTCTCTCTCTCTCTCTCTCTCTATGGTCCCATTCCCTTTACTGGACACACACTCATAATGGCTCTACTCTGACTTAATGACCCTGAGTCCTGTAAGAGCTGGATATTAATTCTCAAACAGACATGGATAAGTATGGGGTATGCCACTATAGAGTTGTGCATTTTCATTCTGCTTCAATACATTTGTTTTTTCTCATGAAGTTTGTGTTTGTGTTGAAGTTATTCCTTATTAACAAGATGTGTTGCTTCTCTACAGTGAAGTGCCCAGTGATCTGTCTAGACTTCACCACCTGGAGGTGCTGCTGAGACACTTGGAGAGCAACCTGGAGAAGGTGAGCCACTTCCACCTCAGATACACAACCCCCATCTCTCATCATTAAATCCATGTAGACCACCTCACCATCTCTTTTTAAATAACCCCATGACCTCTCTCTCTGTGACGGTCAGGAGAGGCAGGACAAAGAAGCCCTGATGGAGGAAGTGACGATTCTGAGGGAGACCAACCGGCGCCTGTGGGAGGAGTCTCTTTCATCCAATGAACAGCTCCGTAAACTCAGCCTTTTGTTCAACAGGAATGATGCCTAGAGAGAGAGAATGACCAATGACACTAAGAGGAGAGAGAGAGATGAGTTGAAAAGAGTGGAGGAAAAAATGGTTTCAACAAAGATCATTTACATTTGAAACTCTGTTGTTTCAAGGTACTGTCTGCAAAATGTGATCAGAGAAAGAGGACAGATAACTATAATATTTCCCCTCCAGTAGAAATCCACTATGAAGTGATGAATGGGACTCAACTTCTGTCCTCCTTTATCTACACAACAGAAAGCTAATTGTCTAGAGCACGTTTTCTTAAACTATGGTTTGGGACCCAAAGTGGGCCCTGAGCAGGTGAGAGGTGGGTCGTGAGTTATGAGTAAACATTTAGAATCATACACAATTTCTTCTTAATTTGGGTCGTTCGAGGACAGTACATTTCTCATTTGGGTCTCGAGCTTAGAAATCTTAAGAACCTCTGTAATAGCAGATTAATCAGTTAATGTAACTCATTAATCTACCATGAGCTCGGGGACTTTGTCAAATAGCAGAGTTTTTTTTTTTTTTGCTTACACAGTAATTTTTAACTCATTCAAAATAACGCCCTTTCGCCATGACATTCCAATGCCGTGACCCGGATTCGAAGCGGGGTTGCTGTGGCAACAATGCAGAGTACTAACCACTATACGATCACGGCGAGCTAATAGAGCTTGCTTGTAGAGGCTACTCATGCTGGGACAGTGACCTGTACAAACTGGATAAATGCTTGAGTTGTTAGCCAGTTCAGCTTTACACAGTTGGTACGTTTGAACTCAAAAAGTGCCCTCTTTCCATGACATTGGAATATCTCAATTGCATACTCACGTCCTCTCTCCTCTCGCCTACTTCTCAAACCCATTGGATTAGAAAACCGGAGGTCCATCCCCTCTGACCTTCTCCACCAATGGGTACAATGAAATGCTTGAAAAAGCACTGCTGAGATTTTAACTCAGGATCTCTGGTTTACTAGACAGGCGCTTTAACCAACTAAGCCACAGCGCCCATAGATGTAATTTCTATTGAGGGTATGATAACCCACACCTATTTTGAATCAAACCAGTCTTATTCATTTAACTCATATCTCTGTCTAGCAAAATCACTTCACAAAACAGATGTAATTTCCTAATTTTGGAATCGATACGGACACCTTCAATTGACTAGCAACAGGGTTTCTTAACTATGGTTTGGGACCCAAAGTGGGCCCTGAGCAGGTGAGAGGTGGGTCGTGAGTTATGAGTAAACATTTAGAATCATACACAATTTCTTCTTAATTTGGGTCGTTCGAAGACCGTACATTTCTCATTTGGGTCTCGAGCTTAGAAATCTTAAGAACCTCTGGTCTAGAGACCTGCTGCGCTGTACCTTCACAGATGTTCTGTTCACATTCCTTCTCATTTAATTAATTCTGGTATGAAAAAGGCTAAATAAACGACCTGATTGTATTACCAGCACTGTGAATATACTGCCACCTGAGGTGCCCAAAGTCAAGCGATAATAACTTCTAAACGACTACCATGCAGTTTGAGGGCACAGTGGTCTTGACTTTAGATGAAAAACTGAATGATGATCATGATCAACAATGATCACAATGTGACTTTTACTGTTGATTTGTTTAAAGAATAAATGATTGTTATATTTGTAATAATCTAAAATACTATATTGTGTGGTATCTAAAATAAATGTTAACTTGTTTCATTTGTCTCAAATAACAAATCAAAGTACTAATAACAATTTAATAACTTTTATTTACAGAACATCTAAACATATTTTGAAACCACGCATAGAAACACTTCAGCAAACTTCCAATTGACAATTTGAATAGGTCAATACAATGGTAAGACTTCAGTTCTTACCTGCCTTGTAAAAAAGTAATTTACACAATGTGTAATATAGAAACACATAGACATTCCACACATATTAATAAATGCAGTGTGTATAAATAGGTAATAAATAAAACGGTCAGTCCATGGGGCAAGTGATTTATGTGCTGCATACTGTGTAACCTGGAATTTCTTTGGTCCTTATGATCATAAATATAGACTGATTGATGAAATAAACTTCAGGATGGCATGACTAGTAAAACACTGTCTTGGCATTATAACCCACAGGAAGACATCACTTAATGTAAATACAAAACTTCCTACTAAAATGGTTCTCAATGATATCTGTAAAACCACTTTTGAACATTTCGTATAAATAACTTTTAACATGAAGCAGAAAACAATAAGTAACAGTTAAATGTGGTGTGCTAGACCAGGGGATCCCAAACAGTTTCACTCGGGGCCCCCCTTCCAGCATTGGGGAACAGCTTATTTCCTGCAATTCTACACATTTTGTCACGGGGTGCAAAGAAAATGTTACATTTTGACATGTCTAATGTGTATTCATGTGATATTGGAGTGACTACAAAATTACAACAATATCTACGGGCTAAAAAACTAAATAAAAAAACATTAGCTGACGTGGGCTAGTTGATCTGGATATTTATGACAAGTTATAAATAGCTATCTAAGGTATCCAATGACTAACATGACAAGAGGAACTAATGATGCACTACCTCATTTCGAAATTGCACCTTGTGCATTCTACTATTACAACTTTAAAGAGTAAGTTTAAAGTCGGACTGACTTCCTTTAAAAAATATATATAAATTGGGAACCACTGTGCTAGACAAAGAGATTAAGTGTCTGCGTTTGAGAATATAATTAAATCTCCAAAGAACTTCATAATTAACTCATACAGTAAGTGACTCTTAAATAAACAGTATTGTTGATTTGAATATGGACAGATACAGTATAAATATGGACATCCAATGCTAGATGCATATGGTCAGTGAAGGGTCAGTGTGTGTGGAGGTACCTGCTCTAGGGGCCTCCTCTGGCTGCAGCACACAGGTCTCTCTGGGCCAGCAGCATGTGGAGGGGGCTGGGTACACAGTCCTCTTCCTCCCCGTCTCCCTCCACCAACTCACTCCTCACGTTACGGTTCTGCTGGCGGCTGAAGCGACGGGCCTTCAGACTGAGAGAGATTACACAAGCTCCTCTGTAAAACTGAGAAATTCCAATTGTAAGTACAGAGACAGACACAATGAGAAAGTTACTGACCAGTAGACATGCCTCTCCTGCTTGGGCATGACGTGCCACAGGCTGGCCAGCTCCTTGGTGACCACAGTAGACGGGGTGCCAGGGTGGGTGCTGTTCAAAGACATGGCAGCCATCTTAGTTACAGACACACAGAGGTACAGTACATCCAGCTGAAACACAGGGTTATGGGGTTAAAGGTCAGGAGTCACTCACCAGAGGTAGGTCTTCCTGTTGATGCGGCAGAACATGATGAAGCCGTTGACACACTTCTTCTTCAGGTTAAGAGGGGTGCGAGGGGGACCCTTGGTGGAGGCGTTGGCTCTGCGGTGCCGTCCTGTTCTACTGGTCTTTGACTTCAGAGGGACTTGTTGTTGCTTGGGGGTCCAGGTGATGTCCCCTTCCTCCCCCTCACTCAGGGAGGACAGCCACCCTCCTCTGCCATGCCTGACTTCAGCTTCACCCTCCGACAGCTAGGGGGAATAGTGGCTTTAGCATTACGCTGAACATACCCATTTCCTTAATTGTGTTGCACGATATACCGCAACTTCCTGACCCTTTCAACAGTACATGAAAAATGGTTCGGTACTAGAATTTCTGTTACTTTCGGTACTCAAATGTGTCTCACGGATTAAGCCTGTCTATCAGCACAGCCGACCCCTTATTATAGCGCGCATCGTGCCTGCTCCACTTACTCATTGCTAGCCTGCACTTGGAGTCTGGGATGCATCATGTTAGCTCCCTATTCATGCTGCACAGAAGTTAACACACGTGAGTAATGCGACACGGCATGTAGAAATTTTGTAACTGCTAATTACTGTTTGCAAAACAATATCTATACAAGCAAGAACACTTTACAATGCAAGAAAACACCTGTAGCTTCCAGCTTTGTAGGCTAACTTTCTTTGCTAGCTGACAGCTAAAGCTAACATCAATTCATTACCCTAGTACTTTGTTTGTGATGAAGCTGATTGCCACCAAAAATCTTATCCATTCACTTATTCGGTCTCTCTCTCGTCTCTCCCAAAGATGATATTTTGCCTCAGCAAACTGACTGCTCCAAACCTCTTGCCTTGTGAATGACGCCATTACTGGTTAAACATTTTTTATAAAAGAAGCAAATGTTGTTGATCAGTACAATAAGATATGTCCCAAATGGAAGGGAAACAGATTGTTTGTCATCTGTAGCCCCGTGAAATCAGCCAAAACAAGCTCAATAACTCAATGCATGCACACACTCCTATTGGATATGCATTCACCTGTATGGTGGATAGGCTAGGCTACATCTTGATTTACCCAGTTTATCAATACAGATTTACCATTCAAATAAATTATTACTATTATGTTATGAAGTTAGATTGGTAAAAACAAAGTCAATTTGTTTGTATGATTGTATAATTGATTAATGAATGTATACATGGCAGTCTCTGCAAAATGTTGACTTTTAAAAAATCCTTTGTAATGATATTGAACTCAAAAGATGCCCAACGATTGAACAGAGCAGTAGCTGAGTTTATCTGTCTGGATCAGGTGCCATTCTGTGACTTTGGATAATATGCTTTCTTTTTTTGCTGTTCTATCGTTTTAGTATTGAGTATTTTGATACTAAACCTGGTATCGGTATCGAACACAACACTAGTACCTAACATACTATACACTCAACATTTGTGTTGTGGAAACATGATTCTATGAGGCTTACTGAGTCAGTGGGGTCATGGCAGGGCAGGCAGGACACTTTGGTGTGGGTCGTTTTAGGGGTGACCCAAACATCCTCGAATAGCACTGCAAAAAGATGAGTGTGTGTTGGCTGTTGGCTATGTTTCACTCTCTCTCTCTCTTGCACCAGGAACTGAAGACGTAAGTAGGAATGTAGATGATTAATAGCTGGAGGAATCCTTCCAATCGAGTTACAGCAAGGTTTTACAGACTGCACTACTTGGTAGACTGCACACTACACCAAGCTTCCCTTAATCTATTTGAAGTCAGACACTTCAAATATACTTCAATGGCAGGCAGGGTATATTTTGTACCTAACAACATAAAGCAGCAATACCCTGGTCACTAAGATGAATATTCAAGCAGCTTAATATTGAGCGTGTGTTATTAAAAGGAGTGTTACCATGGAGCTCCTCCTGGCCCTCAGGCAGCAGGCAGTGGCTGAGGCCCCGGGCAGGTGATGTGAGGAGGGAGGGGCTGAGGTTCAGACTGTCCCCCGTCCCAAACAGAGGCAGCAGGGGGAGTAGGATAGGGCGTTGGGGCGTGGCAGCAGGGCTGAGGAAGGGCTCCCTTTGCCCTCGCATGGGTGGGATGACCCCAAGCATTTGGTCCTTCAGGAAAAGTGATCCTGGCCTGAAAACACATAGATACGGGTTGAAAACACAAACACATGAATACTATACTAAGTTACACTAAAAAGGACAAGCATGTGGCTACAGGGATGTAAACCCACCCAGTAATTGGAGTAGTTGGAGTGTCTAGGACCCCGCTCCCTGATGGGCTGCTCTCGCTGCCTGTGCGGTCCTCACAGACAGAGCAGTGGCCTCCCTGTGTTGGGGATGGAGTCCACAGAGTCCCACTGCTCCCTGTGGGAGACCGAAAGAGAGGCATCAACTCAGTAACATTTGTCCCAAACACACCTGTCCTGTATAGCCCTGAGACCACTGAAGGACCCTCCAGCCTAACTCACCCTCCAGAGGCGTACTCAGGGGGAGCAGCTGATTTAGGCTGAAGCCTGAATCCAGGGAGCTCGGCTGGGAATCGCTGTCATACACAGGCCACGCCCCATGGCTATCCCTAGACTGGAGCTCTGACCAATCAGAATGCACGCCCCACATGGGGACAGACACACCCTCCTCCTCTGGGTAAACTCTTTTTCCATTAGCTACAGCTTTGTACAACCTCCTTCTTTTCACCTGAAGCTCTGCCTTCACCTCTGAGTTAACCAAACAGAAACGCAACATTCTGGTTAGTGTGATATTATTACACACAAAACGACAGTTTGTAATCATACTTGATGTAATTAGCAGAACTACTCTCATCACCTTACAACAGTCTTTGACAGTGTTGAACATAATGTCATGGGTAGCTGGGGGAGGTGTGGGTCTGGTACCTGAGGTGGGGGCAGGTCTCTTGCGGGAACGGCTGCAAGCATATTTGCGCTTGGCCTTTAGAGTGTGAGGGGGGGTACAGGGCTCAGAGAGGGTGTTCTCTTCACTCTCAGACCCTGTGCACGCAGACACACACACACACATACACAGGGTAAATGCATTGAATGAAACTCAGGTACGTAGTCTGTACTTGTCTTGATGCTCCCGAGTGGCGCAGCGGTCTAAGGCACAGCATCTCAGTGCTTGAGGCATCACTACAGACCCCCTGGTTTGATTCCAGGCTGTATCACAACCGGCGGTGATTGGGAGTCCCATAGGGCGGCGCACAATTGGCCCAGCGTTGTCCGGGTTTGGCCGGTGTAGGCCGTCATTGTAAATAAGAATTTGTTCTTAACTGATTTGCCTAGTTAAATAAAGGTTAAATAAAAAAATAAAAATAAAATGCTTGGCTGAGGTTGTACCTGTGTCGGGTTCCTGCTTGGGGATGCAGTGGGGGGGCAAGCGGCTCTGCAGGGTCTGGATCTTACTCTGAAGAAAGTCAAAATAGCGCAGCATGTGGACCAGAGTCTCCTTCTGAAAATAGATTAGAGAGACATCACACACAGAAACACCCACCCACATAATGTAACCGTACTGTATACAGTAGACATGCACCCACATACATACGGACACAAATACTCATACAGAGAATCCATGTATACAATTAAATCAAGAACGTCCGTGCACAAACCTTGGTGAGTCCTCGGCCATTCCTAGGCTCAGATATGGGTAGGAGGCCTGCAATCTCTTTCAGGCTGTTGCTCCAGCACGTGCTCCAGTCCAGCTGATCCTTACTGTAAAATAACGTACCCATTACTTAGCTACAGTAGATCATTTTCATGATGTCATTCAATCCTATTTTCTCATTCTTTTTTACAGTGACGTGCAACAGGCCATTTAAGTAGCTTAAAGTACCTTTTCCTGCGAGTCGCGTCTCTGCCTGCGGGTCCTGGTGCCATGCTCAAATCTACCACAGGGGGCGTCAAAGATGCACGATTAACGTTCACAGTCCCTTGCGCGGTAACATTAGTTTGCTAGCCAGCTAACTTAGCTAGCTGAAGTTTGCCATCTCTCAGTCTAGCTAATTGTTTTCACGGCTTTAACCAACGAGTATCTATCTATATGCTTCGCCTCTTCATCTCTGCTTTAACTAAAATATCTTAACGTAGTTACGTTTGAGCTATCCAGCTAACTTTATGCCTACCCGTTTTTTGATAGCGAGAGCGAGCCAGTGACTGTATATATGAAGGGCGAGCAGAGGTAAGCAAGCGAAATATACATTTTAATTATTAGCCACTATAAAAGTATTAATGTCTGTGGACATAATTGTTAGTGATAATTTATGGCAAGTCACTTACCTAGCAGAAGTTTAGCAGTAAAGAGAATGTTCTATTTTTTAAATAATTTTTCTCTAGCCAGCTAGTAATGTCACCTCATTGGTTAAAAAAAGACCAATCCCTTCGCACGAGGCAGGTGATTGGCTAGACACAGACCTATCCTAGCGGGTACATTGCACGTTCTAAGACTTTTAAGAAATGTATTGGATTCGAATGTTACCATGCAGAAATATTTTGCCTACATGACAAACCAATCGGCGGTTTGGTTCACTAGAAATCAATCAATCAATCAATAATGTATTAATTCATTCAACAATTTACAATTATACAGATATAGATAAAACAACACACATATAAATGCATATTTTTGGGCTAATGTGTGATTTTTTTCAATTATAGTCTGTTGTCATTTTTAGAATTTCTTCCAAATAAACGAGTCAATTTTTTCAGTCAAATTTTTTCCATCAATTGATAGCCTACTCCTGAATCATTTTCGTGTACAATTTTCGCAGCAGGCGGTCTGAGCAGGCAGGCACCGAACTTGTCTGCCTTAATCAGGCCTGAATACACCAGATAGCCACCACTGTAGTGGCGGGATGCTCTCATGCAACAACGGCAGACACGGAACTAAAAATGGAGCCATAACGAACGACGACGACGATATGGTGGGGTCAATATGCGACTAGTGTGGACGTTGATAGCTTATTATACCTCAGTGGTTGATATATTTAATTGGATAGATCCGCAGCTGAATGTATGTCCCAACATGACAGCGTGAGTGCTCCATTAAGGTAAAATAACCTGTATCTTGTTGTTGAATTGTAGCCTATCCTGTATGGATCATACGCACTCTAACGCACATGGTTAAGAAAGGCTCTGTACCAGACTGTACTGTTGTGTGAATCTACCGCTTCTTCCAAGTAATGAGAACCATCCGGAGGCACCGATCTTCTACGGGCACAGAGCTGCTACTGGGACGCTGCAACCGGCTCCGGATGTCCCGAGTTCGGGTACTTCTCGTATTCCTATGCGGGATGCTGGCTATGGCTCTGACACTTGGATTTTCTTTCTCGAGTAATGATACAAGCGATGATGATGACAGTATTCATATGGACGAAAACATACAATTTCGTGTGCCAGACCTAATAAGGGACAAGGTAGGTGATGGATCCTGCACTGTATCCTCCGGTTTTCCAATATTGCGCTAAACCTAAGGAGTATCCTACATTTTAGGTGCTGCTGTCTTGCTACAGCCTACATACCCCAGCCAGCCGGAACACTTAACCCTGTCTGTTCAACTATAGATGCTATAATATAGCGTCAATATTGATACACTTCACTGATGGCAGAAAATGTACCTCTAGTCAGATCTTTGATTGCTCAATAATAAACAGTATTTGTGCCTGGTGACTGACAGTGTTCAAAATGCATATGTGAAAAAACTACTGCAACTATCTCCTCTCTCTCCTGCTGTCCTCCCCTTCTGCAGTTGACCCATAACCCCCGTCGGGCCACTGTGGCCCAGATCAAACGTCTGGTGGGCCAGGTGAATTCAGGTAGACTGTGGTATTCTCTCCTGAGGCCCATCCTGGTAGAGAGACTGCCAGGTACCAGGGGCAGCCGTAGGGTGCGTGAGGTTAGGAACTCTACTGACTCTATCAAGAGACATCAGGGTAGAACGTCTGTAATTACAGTGGAACTGGTGTCTCTTTATCTCTGTCTTACATGTTATTGTATCAATTAACATTTTGTTTCCTGAAATAATGCCCTTAGATTAAAATCACACCGTTTTTCTGTGGCTGCCACAGCATATCTACAGCCATCTAGAGTTCCTGTCAGCGGGTTGGTCGTTGGAGGTCGACTCCTTCAACTCTGCTACCCCAAAGGGACTAATCACCTTCTCCAACCTGATGGCAGTCCTGGACCCCGCGGCCCCGCGCCGTCTGCTGCTGGCCTGCCACTACGACTCCAAGGACATGCTCCCAGCTTCCAAAACCACTGACGGGCCTCTCAGGAGGTTCCTAGGGGCCAGCGACGCGGCCGTCCCCTGTGCCATGATACTGGAGCTGGTCACTGCTCTGGATGTCCACCTGAAAGTGCTAAAACAACAGGTAAAGACTGTCTGCTTTGCTACAGTAGGACAAGGGTACACTTTAGAGGGCAAGGATGAAAGTGATGACTTGACAGATCCTTTTAAGTTCCTGGTTGCACTGGGAATATAAGATGTCGGATTTGCAGAAAACTGATGACAGGATGTGGCTTCAGTGTGTGGTTGGGCTACCCTCTGACGTGTTTGCCTCTCTCCTGGGATGTCAGACTATTTATAGACCTGGAGTCTGACCCATGTTCACATATCAATTATTCATACATTTATATCCAAATTAAACTGTGCAGACATTGATGGGTCGAGGCCCAGACATCATTAACACTCACTGGACATCTCCCATGTTGGCATCAGAAGCAATGCATTTTAAAGGATATTGTATGATAGTCACATATTATTCGACCAATATATTATTTTGTAAGCATATACACTACGAGTCCAAAGTTTGGACACACCTACTCATTCAAGGGTTTTTCTTTATTTTGACTATTTTTTACATTGTAGAATAATAGTGAAGACATCAAAACTATGAAATAACAAATATGGAATCATGTAGTAACCAAAAAAGTGTTAAACAAATCAAAATATATGTTATATTTGAGATTCTTCAAATAGCCACCCTTTGCTTTGACAACAGCTTTGTACACTCTTGGCATTCTCTCAACTAGCTTCATGAGGTAGTCACCTGGAATGCATTTCAATTAACAGGTGTGCCTTCTTAAAAGTTAATTTGTGGAATTTATTTCCTTCTTAATGCGTTTGAGCCAATCAGTTGAGTTGTGACAAGGTGGGGGGGTATACAGAAGATAGCCCTATTTGGTAAAAGACCAAGTCCATATTATGGCAAGAACAGCTCAAATCAGCAAAGAGAAACGACAGTCCATCATTACTTTAATAATATTAATATATAATATATAATATTATTAATAATAATAATAAATAATAATAATTTAAGACATGAAGGTCAGTCAATATGGAAAATGTCAAGAACTTTGAAAGTTTCTTCAAGTGCAGTGTCAAGGCGTGCTGTAGGTGCAGTGGCGGAATCAAACGCAGGACGCAGACGGATAATCCAACAGACTTGTATTAAGCCGAAAACACGGCAAACGGACAACACTTGCCCGAAGGCGAAATACGCACGAAGGCGAAAAAGAAACAAACAGCGCACAAACATGTGCGGAAACTCCAGCGCAGTGGAGAGAAGCTCAACCGAGCGAAAACACGTCTGACAACAATCAATAATACACAACACCTGACAAACACAACGGGAACTAAATAGGACACTAATGACACTAAATGAAAACAGGTGTGACAACACTCAGACAAAAGCAAACGAACATGAAACATACAACGGTGGCAGCTAGTATTCCGGAGACAACGAACGCCGAAGCCTGCCCGAACAAGGGAGAGAGGCAGCCTCGGCCGAAACCGTGACAGTACCCCCCCCTTGACGCGCGGCTCCAGACGTGCGCTGACTCCGGCCTCGGGGACGACCCGGAGGACGCGGAGCCGGGCGCGTCGGGTGCCCACGATGGAATTCCGTCAGGAGAGACGGGTCCAAAATGTCACTCCTCGGCACCCAGCACCGCTCCTCCGGACCGTACCCCTCCCACTCCACTAGATACTGGAGACCCCCCATCCGACGTCTCGAATCCAAGATGGACCTCACGGAGTACGCCGGTGCCCCCTCGATGTCCAATGGGGGCGGAGGAGTCTCCCTGATCTCACTGTCTTGGAGTGGGCCAGCTACCACCGGCCTGAGAAGGGACACATGGAACGAGGGGTTAATACTTTTATATTCAACAGGTAGCTGTAATTTATAACACACCTCGTTCAACCTTCCCAGGACTTTAAATGGCCCTACAAACCGCCGACCCAGTTTCCGACAGGGCAGGCGGAGGGGCAGGTTCCTGGTAGAGAGCCAGACTCGATCACCAGGTGCGTACACCGGTCCCTCACTGCGGTGGAGATCAGCGCTCGCCTTATGACGTCGGAGGGCCCGCTGCAGGTGGACGTGTGCAGCGTTCCATGTCTCCTCCGAGCGCCTCGCCCACTCATCCACCGCAGGAGCCTCGATCTGGCTCTGCTGCCAGGGTGCCAGAACCGGCTGGTAACCTAACACACATTGGAAAGGGGTTAGGTTAGTGGAGGAATGGCGTAGGGAATTCTGGGCCATTTCGGCCCAGGGAACGTACCTTGCCCACTCCTCCGGCCGGTCCTGGCAGTATGTTCTAAGAAACCTGCCCACATCCTGGTTTACACGTTCCACCTGCCCATTACTCTCCGGGTGGTAACCCGAGGTGAGGCTCACCGAGACCCCCAACCGCTCCATAAAGGCCCTCCAGACTCTGGAGGTAAATTGGGGACCCCGATCAGACACAATATCCTCGGGTACCCCGTAGTGCCGGAACACATGGGTGAATAGGGCTTCGGCAGTTTGCAGGGCGGTAGGAAGGCCCGGCATGGGGAGCAAACGACAGGCCTTAGAAAACCGGTCCACAACGACCAGTATAGTGGTATTCCCCTGTGAAGGAGGAAGGTCAGTAAGGAAATCCACCGAGAGGTGGGACCATGGTCGTTGTGGCACGGGCAGGGGTAGTAACTTACCCCTAGGCAGATGTCTAGGCGCCTTACACTGGGCGCACACCGAGCAGGAGGAAACATAAACCCTCACATCCCTTGCCAACGTGGGCCACCAGTACTTGGCACTAAGACAGTGCACTGTCCGGCCGATACCTGGATGTCCAGAGGAGGGTGACGTGTGAGCCCAATAGATCAATCGATCCCGAACCTCGAGCGGAACGTACTTCCGACCCTCCGGGCACTGTGGTGGACTAGGGTCGGTGCGTAACGCCCGCTCGAGCTCAGCATCGACCTCCCACACTACCGGTGCCACCAGACACGACTCCGGCAGTATGGGAGTGGGCTCCACGGACCTCTCCTCCGTGTCATACCGCCGAGACAGCGCATCTGCCTTACCATTCTGTGACCCAGGGATGTACGTGATCTTAAAAGTAAACCTGGTCAAGAACATATTCCATCTTGCCTGGCGAGGGTTCAACCTCCTCGCTGCCCGGATGTACTCCAGGTTACGGTGGTCCGTCAAAATGAGGAAAGGGTGTTGAGCCCCCTCAAGCCAGTGCCTCCACACCTTTAGGGCCTGTACCACGGCTAACAGCTCCCTGTCCCCTACGTCATAGTTCCGCTCCGCCGGACTGAGCTTCTTAGAATAAAAGGCACAGGGGCGGAGTTTAGGTGGCGCGCCAGACCGTTGTGAAAGCACGGCTCCTAGACCGGCCTCTGACGCGTCCACCTCTACCTGGAACGGCAAAGAGGGATCCGGATGCGCCAGCACCGGGGCCGAGGTAAACAGGTCCTTCAGCCTCCCAAACGCCCTGTCCGCCTCGGCCGACCACTGCAGACGCACCGGACCCCCCTTCAAAAGAGACGTGATGGGAGCTGCCACCTGTCCAAAACCCCGGATAAACCTCCGGTAGTAATTCGCAAACCCCAAAAACTGCTGCACCTCCTTCACAGTGGTTGGTGTTTGCCAATTACGCACGGCCGACACCCGGTCTACCTCCATCTTCACCCCTGACGCAGACAACTGATACCCCAAAAAGGAGACCGACTCCTGGAAAAACAGACACTTCTCTGCCTTCACATACAGGTCGTGCTCCACCAGCCTCCGCAACACTCTACGCACCAGGGCCACATGCTCGACACGGGTAGGCGAGTACACGAGAATGTCATCAATGTACACAACCACCCCCTGCCCCTGCATGTCCCTGAAGATCTCATCCACGAATGATTGGAAAACTGACGGAGCGTTCATCAACCCGTATGGCATGACCAGATACTCGTAATGGCCCGAGGTGGTACTAAAGGCTGTCTTCCATTCATCGCCCTCCCTGATGCGCACCAAGTTGTACGCGCTCCTGAGATCTTATTTAGTGAAGAAACGCGCCCCATGCCATGACTCAGTCATGGTCGCAATCAGCGGGAGTGGATAACTGTACTTCACCGTAATCTGATTGAGACCACGGTAATCGATGCACGGGCGCCAACCACCATCCTTTTTCTTCACAAAAAAGAAACTCGAGGACGCAGGGGAAGTGGAAGGCCGTATGTATCCTTGTCTCAGAGATTCTTCTATGTAAGTCTCCATAGCTTTCTTCTCCTCTTGAGACAGAGGATACACATGGCTCCGTGGGAGCGCAGCTCCTGCCTGGAGGTCTATCGCACAATCTCCCTGCCTATGGGGCGGCAACTGCGTCGCCCTCGCCTTACTAAACGCAATAGCCAAATCCCCATACTCAGGGGGAACGTGCAATGCGGGCACCTGGTTTGGACTCTCCACCGAGGTAGCCCCTACGGAAACGCCCAAACATCTACCCACACACTGAGCAGACCACTCCATCAGAGCCCTCTCCTGCCACGAAATGGATGGGTTATGGGTACTCAACCAGGGCATGCCCAGCACCACCGGATACGCAGGAGAGTCAATCAGAAATAGCTGAATCATCTCCTGATGACCCCCCTGCGCACACATCCTAAGTGGCGCCGTGACCTCCCTGATCAAGCCCGTACCCAACGGACGGCTATCTAGGGCATGAACGGGGAAAGGAACATCAACAGGAAGAAGGGGAATCCCTAACGCTAAACAAAACTTTTTATCAATAAAATTCCCAGCCGCGCCTGAATCTACCAGCGCCTTATGCTGGGAATGAGGTGCTACCTGTGGAAAACGCACAGGCATACAAAAATGTGCAACAGAGAGCTCTGGGTGAGTGGGGCGCCTACTCACCTGGAGGGAATCCCCAGTGCGGGACCTGTCGTCCTCTCCCCTAGGAGGCCATCCCCAGCACCTAGCCGCGGTGTGTCCTCCCCGACCACAGTTGGTGCAAGGGATGGACCCCCTAGTAAGCCGACCCCTCCTCTCTCTAGCGCCAGCGCCCCCGAGCTCCATGGGGCACGGCTCGGAAGCGCTGGAGGGTGAAATGGACGGACCCCCCTCGGAACGCCCGCGGGTAGCTAGCAGGTTATCCAGCCTGATGGACATGTCGACCAACTGGTCGAACGTGAGGCTGGTGTCCCTACAGGCCAGCTCCCGACGGACGTCCTCTCGTAGACTACACCTGTAGTGATCGACGAGGGCCCGATCATTCCACCCTGCATCTGCCGCTAGAGTACGGAATTCGAGGGCGAACTCCTGAGCACTCCTCCTCCCCTGCCGGAGGAAGACCAGACGCTCCCCCGCCGCTTTCCCCTCCGGGGGATGGTCAAACACCGCCTTGAAGCGGCGGGAGAACTCGTTGTACGTTATGGTGTCCGCGTCGATCCTCCTCCACTCCGCGTTGGCCCATTCCAACGCCTTCCCGGACAGGCAGGAGATCAGGGCGGACACGCTCTCATGTCCCGAGGGCGCCGGATGCACGGTGGCCAGGTACAGCTCCACCTGGAGAAGGAAACCCTGGCACCCGGCCGCGGTCCCATCGTAAGCCCTCGGGAGCGAGAGTCGGACTCCTCTGGGTTCTGGTGCGGGAATAGGCTGACTGGCCGATGGTGCTGGCACGGAGGGTGGCGGTGGAGGCGTCCCCCAGCCTCGGATGGTGGTGATCACCTCCTGCAGTGCGGTCCCCATCTGCAGGATCTGGTCCCCTTGCTCCCTGTCCTCCAGAGTCGCCTGGGCTGCTGCGGCTCCTGCTGATTCCATTGTGGTGTATTATTCTGTCAAGGCGTGCTGTAGGTGCAGTGGCGGAATCAAACGCAGGACGCAGACGGATAATCCAACAGACTTGTATTAAGCCGAAAACACGGCAAACGGACAACACTTGCCCGAAGGCGAAATACGCACGAAGGCGAAAAAGAAACAAACAGCGCACAAACAGGTGCGGAAACTCCAGCGCAGTGGAGAGAAGCTCAACCGAGCGAAAACACGTCTGACAACAATCAATAATACACAACACCTGACAAACACAACGGGAACTAAATAGGACACTAATGACACTAAATGAAAACAGGTGTGACAACACTCAGACAAAAGCAAACGAACATGAAACATACAACGGTGGCAGCTAGTATTCCGGAGACAACGAACGCCGAAGCCTGCCCGAACAAGGGAGAGAGGCAGCCTCGGCCGAAACCGTGACATGCAGATGCAAAAACCATCAAGCGCTATGATGAAACTGGCTCTCATGAGGACCGTCACAGGAATGGAAGACCCAGAGTTACATCTGCTGCAAAGGATAAGTTAATTAGAGTTACCAGCCTTAGAAATTGCAGCCCAAATAAATGCTTCACAGAGTTGAAGTAACAGACACACCTCAACATCAACTGTTCAGAGGAGACTGTGTGAATCAGGCCTTCATGGTCGAATTGCCGCTACTAAATGACACCAATAAGAAGAAGAGACTTGCTTGGGCCAAGAAACACGAGCAATAGACATTAGACCAGTGGAAATTTGTCCTTTGGTCTGATGAGTCCAAGTTTGAGATTTTTGGTTCCAACCGCCGTGTCTTTGTGAGACGCGGTGTGGGTGAACGGATGATCTCCGCATGTGTATTTCCCACCGTAAAGCATGGAGGAGGAGGTGTTATGGTGTGGGGGTGCTTTGCTGGTGAGACTGTATGTGATTTATTTAGAATTCAAGGCACACTTAACCAGCATGGCTACCACAGCATCAAGGTTAAGGGTGGCTATTTGAAGAATCTCAAATATAAAATATATTTTGATTTGTTTAACACTTTTTTGGTTACTACATGATTCCATATGTGTAATTTCATAGTTTTGATATCTTCACTATTATTCTACAATGTAGAAAATAGTCAAAATAAAGAAAAACCCTTGAATGAGAATAGGTGTGTCCAAACTTTTGACTGGTACTGTATGTTATATTACAAGAAAATCTATCACTCCAACCCCTGTATCATTCTTTCTGTCTGTTTTTCTGTGTGGTAGAAGTCACAGGTGACGTTGCAGTTGGTCTTCTTTGATGGTAATGAGGCGTTTGAGCAGCCGAGCCCCTCCGACTCTCTGTACGGCTCACGTTACCTTGCTGACCAAATGTCCCGTACACCTCACCCCCCAGGAGCCAAACATACCACCCTGTTACACGCTTTGGTGAGGCTTTGTTAGTGTTTGTTACAATGTTCCATTGCCAAGCCTTATGTCATATGCAGTGTATGTTTTGCTTAGCTTAGTGTTCTGTATGTTGATTGGCAGGACCTGTTTGTTCTTTTGGATCTGATTGGTGCCCCTGACCCTATGTTTGTCAATCACTTTGACGACACTGTACGCTGGTTTGATGAGCTCATATATGCAGGTAAGGCCCCCACCCCTCTTCTCAAAATGTTTACTCCATATACTGTATCACAAAAATTGCCTGTATTGCCAGGTAAATTAATGAATTATTATCACGCGGATTGCTCACTGTAATCGTAATGGGGCAAAAACATATTGTAATGGAGATAATGAGGTAGAGGGAAGGAGGCAGAGGTACACTTTAATGACAGAAAGAGCCAGTGAGCAAGGCAAAGATAGTTTGGCAGGTGGATGACTGACTCATGCTGATACAGGACCAGGCTCTCCTGTGCTGATCTGACTATAATTTCACTCAGTCACAGTAATAAGAAACTTGAAATGAGCTGTTCTTCCTCCCTCATTTTTTCTGTCTCCTCTCTGCTTACCCCTCCTCCATCCCCCTCCCCCCTCTTTATCATTGGCCTTGACTATGGCCCACGGTGGCTGTCATGTCCGTCTGCTAGAGAGGAGGCTCCATAAGCTGGGTCTGCTGTCCTCCCACCCCAGAGAGGTGAGCTACTTCAGGAAGGACATAAACCTGGGCCCTGTGGAGGATGACCATGTGCCCTTCCTCCAGCAGGGTGAGAGAGCACACCCACATAGATAGGCAGATGGTTAGAGGGCACATTTACTGACTAACAAGGATGGATGTTTAACAGTACACTATGAATATCTACCAGTGGAGGCTCCTCAGAGGAGGAAGGGGAGGACCATCCTACTCAGTGAATTTCATAAAAATAAAAATAGTGAAACATTAAAGATGCACTACGCAGAAATCGCTCCGCCATTTCCTGGTTGCTAAAATTCTAATAGTTTACCTAATATCAGGTTATGTGAAGTATAGTGTAGAGCCTTCAAACTCAACTCTGGACCTCAAAGCCATTTCCACTGCAATGTGCACTTAATTATCAGGTAGAACAGAAAACCAGCAGGCTCCGGACCTCGTAGGGTAAGAGTTGAATATCCCTGGTGTAGAGTCATTATTATTATTATTATTATTATTATTATTATTGTACCATCTAAACTGAGGTGAATTATATTTTCCATAACCAAAAATATTGTATTTTCAGCTGTTTAAAGCTGGTATACAAAACCGAAAGTAAAAGACATAAAAACTCAACTTAAAAACGGGAAGCATAGAAATAGCGCAGATAGAACAGATCTACTGCTTCTTAGACTTACTTTCAATGAGAATGACAGATCTATAACTCACATTTCTATGAACATTTTGTCAAGTCACCCAAAAAGATACATATTGCAAGTTCTCCTTTTTAGATAAAACTATACTAAATATATTCACTTCACCAAATAACTGATTAAAACACACTGTTTTGCAATGAAGGTCTACAGTAGGCTCAACAGCGCTCTGTAGGGTAGCACCATGGTGTAGCCGGACAGCTATTTTCCGTCCTCCTCTGGGTATATTGACTTCAATACAAAACCTAGGAGGCTCATGGTTCTCACCCCCTTCCATAGACTTACACAGTAATTATGACGACTTCCGGAGGACGTCCTCCGACCTATCAGAGCTCTTGCAGCATGAACTGACATGTTGTCCACCCAATCAAAGGATCAGATAATTAATCTAGTGCTGAAACCATAAGCTACAGCTAGCTAGCACTGCAGTGCATAAAATGTGGTGAGTAGTTGACTCAAAGCGAGAGAAAGACAATAGTTGAACAATTTCATTTTGTACAAAATGAAGGAGAAGCAGCAGAGTGAGAGAGATATTTTGTTGTATTTTTTTTTCACTTACACTAGCAAATGCAGCTAATTTAACCTATTCAACAACCTGACTCAAACAGAGAGGAATTATATTTATGTTAGCTAGTTGGCTAAGGCTATCCAACACGTCCAATTCAAGGTGAGCTTTCGGTTTTATAAATGTATTGCCACCGGGGCCCGCCGGTGTAACTGCTAAACTGCTTGCTGTACACTACTGCGTGATTGTACACATGGATTGGATTGTGTGTTTGGGTGATCAGGGGTGTATTCATTCCGCCAATTCTGTTGCATAACGTTTCTTAAACAGAAGCAGACGGAACTAAACGGGCATGGACCTAACTAAATTTGTCCAATAGAAACACTTGTTTTAGTTTTGCAACTGTTTGGACTAATGATTACACCCTAGAATAGCTAGATGCAGGCAATAGTGTGCAAGGCAGTATTGAATGTGTCACTGTCTGTGACCTTGATTACTCCAATTTGTCTTTTGACCTGTGCACCTACGTTATAAACGTTCATTCATAGGCTAGGTTGAGGCAACCTCATGATGGGGTATAGGGAAAATTTTAGTATCATGTAGTAGTGTAAACATATGTTACATTGAGCTGGTTGAATGGAATATGAAAGACTGACAGTCATCCAACATGCTGTAATAGAAATAAGGCCATGCTCATAAAAAAAATAACGTCCTCCCTAATTTTAAATGGCACTGACCGCCACTGATATCTACACAGCTGATTAGACTATGACGTTATATGACTGTACTGTATCTACAGAGAGTGGTGCCCTCCCTCTGCTTTAGTTTTATCCCTGTAGAACTTAATCTACCATCTGCCTTTTTTCTCTCCCCTTCTATTAACCTCTGTCATCCTCTACACTCTACCCTATCTCATTTGTCTTCTCCCCTGCCCTGTCTCTCTGCCATTCCTACCCACTCCCCTCTATGCCTGCAGGGGTTCCAGTACTACACATGATCACAACGCCCTTCCCTTCCTTTATGCACACTCTGGAGGACACAGTGGAACACATCCATTCTCAGACTATCGAGAACCTCACCAAGGTGCTAGTGGTGTTCCTGGCTGAATACATAGGACTCTGACTGACGTTTTCTCCCATTATTGTTGATCATAGACATGTATCCTTTAGATTTTATGCCACAATCACCCACCCTCATTTTTTAATACCAGTCACTCTCCCACATAATCAATTTCCAATCATCAAAGTCCTATCACACCATGCCTTTTTTCTACATCACCTATATCCCCCATTCTGGAGCCATACTAGAAAACTGTTGAAATTAGGATTGTGATTACAGAGGCCTTTTACATACCCTGTCCCTCTCATTCCCATAATCCATGTGGGACTCAGATTTATGCAAAATCAGAATGATAAAATTGATGATGTGCCTTTTCTCAATACATTCAGTAAATTAGGTTGTGAACACTAGAGTATATAGTGTTTCCCAATGAGGGAAGTTCAAGCTAGATCATGTGGCTAAAAAACAGATTAAAATGCTAAATAAAGAGGTGATATATAGCCATTACTGTACATATTTGTTCCCCAAAAAGTATATGTTTAGGACAGACAGTCCAGTAATAATATAGCAATAAATATGTGCTTTGGGAAGTGCTAGATTATATGGGATATAATTGTGCATTAACAGTGCCTTCAGAAATTATTCACACCCCTTGACTTTTTTCACATTTTGTTGTGTTACAGCCTGAATTTAAAATCGATTAAATAGAGATTTTTCTGTCACTAGCCTACCCACAATACCCCATAATGTCAAAGTGGAATTATGTTTTCGGAGAATTTGACAAATTAATTACAAATGAAAAGCTGAAATGTCTTGAGTCAATAAGTATTCAACCCCTTTGTTATGGCAAGCATAAATACGTTCAGGAGTAAAAATGTACTTAACTAGTGACATAATAAGTTGCATGGACTCACTCTGTGTGCAATAATAGTGTTTTAAATGATTTTTGAGTTTTAAATGATTTTTGAATGACTACCTCATCTCTGTATCCCACACATACAATTATCTGTAAGGTCCCTCAGTCAAGCAGTGAATTTCAAACACAGATTCAACCACAAAGACAGGAGGTTTTCCAATGCCTCACAAAGAAGAGCACCTATTAGTAGATGGGAAAAATAAAATAAAAAACATACATTGAATATCCCTTTGGCATGGTGAAGTTATTCATTACACTTTGGGTGGCGTATCAATATACCCAGTCACTACAAAGATACAAGCGTCCTTCCTAACTCAGTTGCCGGAGAGGAAGGAAACTGCTCAGGGATTTCAACATAAGACCAATGGTGACTTTAAAACAGTTACAGAATTGAATGGCTGTGATAGGAGAAAACTGAGGATGGCGCAACAACGTTGTAGTTACTCCTCAATACTAACCTAATTGACAGAGTGAAAAGAAAGAAGCCTGTACAGAATAAAAATATTCCAAAACATGCATTATGTTTGCAACGAGGCACTAAAGTAATACTGCAAAAAATGTGCCAAAGCAAATAACTCTTTGTTCTGAATAAAAAGTGTTATGTTTGTGGCAAATCCAATACAACACATTACTGAATACCACTTTCCATATTTTCAAGCATAGTGGTGGCTGCATCATGTTATGGGTATGCTTGTAATCGTTAAGGACTGGGGAGTTTTTCGGGATACAAATAAACAGAACGTAGCTAAGCACAGGCAAAATCCTAGACGAAACCTGGTTCAGTCTGCTTTCCACCAGACACTGGGAGATGAATTCACCTTTCAGCAGGACAATGACCTAAAACACAAGGCCAAATCTACACTGGAGTTGCTTACCAAGATGACAGTTAATGTTCCTGAGTGGCCGAGTTACAGTTTTGACTTAAATCTACGGCAAGAATTGAAAATGGCTGTCTAGCAATGATCAACAACCAACTTGACAGAGTTTGAATAATGTGAAAATATTGTACAATCCATGTGTGCAAAGCTCTTAGAGACTTACCCAGAAAGACTCACTGCTGTAATCGCTGCCAAAGGTGCTTCTACAAAGTATTGACTCGGGTGTGAATTCAAATTAGATATTTCTGTATTTTATTTTCAATACATTTGCAAAGATTTGGCATTATGGGGTATTGTGTGTAGATGGGTGAGAAAAAAAAAAGATTTAATCCATATTGAATTCAGGCTGTAACACAACAAAATATGAAATAAGTCAAGGGGTATGAATACTTTCTGAAGGCACTGTAGCTTATGCAAGTAATACAAAGTTATGCTTCCGATATTACATAGACCGAACAGTTTCAACTCTGTTTGTTGAAATACATGTACTATGTATTAGGGTGAAGATAAAGATTACATTTTATTCATTTAGCAGGCGCTCTTATCCAGAGCGACTTACAGTTAGTGAGTGCATACATTATTATTTTTTTACTGGCCCCCCATGGGAAGCAAACCCACAATCCTGGCGTTGCAAATGGCATGCTCTACCAACTGAGCTACATCCCTGCCGGCCATTCCCTCCCCTACCCTGCACGACGCTGGGCCAATTGTGCGCCGCCCCATGGGTCTCCCGGTCGTGGCTGGCTACGACAGAGCCTGGATTCGAACCAGGATCTCTAGTGGCACAGTTAGCACTGCGATGCAGTGTCTTAGACCACTGCGCCACAAATGTATTGGTATGACTTTGTATATTGAGCATTACGATATTTAGAGATATTTATCTAAAAGCAAAACTAGGTTCAGTGCCAATATGTCACATATTAATAGTATACTGAATGAGTCGCATCCACCAGCGATAATAACTAAATAGAAAAGTATGATTATTGTGTACTGTATGCATCCACTATTGTAGCACAACAATGGCTTTCACATGATAAGTTGTCAGCCAGCAGAATCTAATAATGCATAATAAGAAACTATTCTATGCGCAATACTTGCTACAGTGAACTCAGTTACAACAATATTATACTGTATGAATCAGACTGTTTGAATGGATGCTGTAACTGTCACAGTGTTGTTACATAGCCTGGCTGCCAGTCTGTTTCTGCTAGCCAACATGTCTTATTATTGTTTTGCCAAAAGAAACAAAACACTCAGAATGGTTCATGCACAACAGGCAGGCACCTGGGCTCCCATTGGAGTCATGCCATCTCCTATGTGAAAGATTGATTGAGGCTATTATGTACCTCAACCCTCAACCCCATATTGTATTGCACAACTGTCTGACATCGCCTCATACTTTAATTATGTTTGTATTATTATTGAACTGTATGGAAAATGGATATGAAATGAATGATAGCTTGCATAGAATTCCACAGAGAATGTTTTCCTAAATAAAAATTATAAACTTGTTTGATTTGTTTAATTTCATGTGTGAAACATTTGTTAAAACATGTTAAATTCACCCCAACGTCTGAGCCTGTGCTGAGTTGACAGCAAAATTGTGAGGTGAGACATCCAAGCCAATAGAGGGCAGTTTAACTAACACCCAACGCAACAGCTCCGTCGCCTTTGGCTTTCGTAACGTAAACATACATACATAGAGTTTCTTAACCCAGAGGCGCAACATCGCGAGACTTCCGGAAACGCTTGCGAAACAGACCAGAGCTGGGTTTCGCAAAAGCAGCGTAGCGCTAACATAATCTTATTTCAATTGAAACGAAATGAACGAAATATCATTTTAGTGCTACGATGCTTTTGGGAAACCCAGCCCAGGCCGTGGTTTGAGAAGTCAATGAGAGAAGTGAAAAATGATTCCTTAGTTGTTAATCTTCTCGAAATCTGTGACATCGCCTACAAGTGTGATGCGGGGAAGCAGTGTTAACCTATCTTCATACTGTACTGTCTTTGCTACATAGCCAACATGATTATCATAAAGGTCGTGCTGTGTTAGCTAGCTAGTGTTTTAGCAATATGTTCCTCAGACGGTTTAAGTGGTAAATAGGTTATTAATGGAAGGATCACACTTGATATGAGACGCATTTCACTATCAAAGGCAGGCAAAGCTACTGTATTTTCGAAGTTGACACTGACTGTCAAGGTAGGTTATCTAGTTAGTTAGATAGCTGGCTAGTATCTAGCTATTTGACTTTAACCCATATTGTGGTGTTTCAGTATCAGCCTGTATGTGGAATGTCTTGTAAAGTGTTCATCTTTGTGGTTTGTGTAGGTTAGCCACTAGCTAGAAGTGTTATTTATTTTATTGATGTGACTCACTGATGTGATACTGTTCCTGTAACGTTACTGTCCACTGCCTGGGATGAGTTCCATCCCTGACTGCCCATACTGAGTTTATATGTCATCAGGGATATTGGTTTCATGGGCTATCATCATGAGGCTAATCAATTATTTAGGACTGTATAGTTGATCTTCAGCAACACACCTATAACCATAAGATAATATGTATAATGACAACTAACATGGCCAGATAAGATCATTGTTTCACCAGCCACAATGATGTCTTTCTCCCATAGGTGTAGGAGACACTTCATCTATACTCTGATGCATGTGTTGTGACGGTCAGACTGCTTCATCCTCTATTCTCTGGTCAGTCGTCCTCCCTGGTCATCTGTGTTGCTGGTGCCCTGTGTTCCACACCATGGCACGCCACAGTAAGCTGCAGAAACAGGTGTTGTCTCTGTACCGCCAGTTCCTGCGTGCTGGCCAGGACAAGCCAGGCTTTCTACCCAGGATCCAGGATGAGTTCCGAGGGAACTCCCACATCAAGAAGACTGATGTCATGCACATAGAGTACCTTTACCGGCGCGGACAGAGACAGCTAGACCAGCTGAAAGATGTGAACACAAAGCAACTAGGAACTTTCTCCAAACCTAAAGCAGAGAGATGACAAAAACCATTTCCCTCTCTACACCCTCTGTTGTAGCTACCTCTAGTAATGTGGATAATACATCGGCATCCGTTATGCAATTACATTAATCATTCACTAGTCAGATTACTACTCCTTTCAATCTGCAGCTGAGTAAGTGCAGTCATTGTCCTAAGCAATGGTCATGGATCTGAACTGTATGACAGCACTATTGTACTCAGTCAGAGAGGTGGACACCACTGATGATGGTGATGAAAATGTTTAAGTCAGTCTCTGGCCAGTG